GCAGCCACAAAACAAAGTAAATATATTCAATATTATGGCCATTACTGTGCCAAAGGACTCTGCTCAATCCGAGGACCGTTTTCACTCAACTTTTCCACTCACGCTCACCAAACAACATTACAGAGGTCGACGACGACGAGCAACAAAGGCGTAGTAGGGAATGAAATAGAAATAGAAAAATAATAAAATAACGAAATAAGCGCATGCCAGGGCCAACCCCCTGTCTGCCAGCTCGCCCGTTTGCCGTCTGCAGGATGTGCAGGATGTGCGCTGCCCGAAAAATAGAAGCCTCGATTCACGATTTGCGAGTGGCAACAGGCACGGGCACGGGCACGAGAACGTGTAATGCTGTAAGCAGGGCCAGACACCGAGCCGAGAACTGAGCCAAACCACCCCTCCGTGGCACCGCAGCAGCACACAAGGATGCCTCGGAGGACAATGCCACAAGAAGAAGCAGCTGCCGCTGCTAGTTGGCTCGCAGGCATCATCCTCGTATTTTTCCCTAGCTTCTTTTTTGCGTACTTGTCTCGGCGCGTCATCGTCGTCCCTGTCCCTGTCCCCGTCCTCGTCCTTGGGCTCATATCTGGATCTCCTTCACAGGGCCGTGCTCACGCTCGGCTCATTCCAATGCACTTCACAGAAGTTAAGGGAGAAAAGTCGGAGTCGTCAACGAAATCCCAGCGAACGTGATTCATTCACGGAATTCTCCAAAGGTGTCTGTTTTGGCTGGCGTTATGGCGTTTAGAGCCATCAGGTGCAGGAGCCTGCCAGTCGCTCTAGATTGTGTCCGCCCATCCCAGTCCCAGGGTGACAGCGAGGTGAGTCAACAGACCGGTGAATGAGGCAGCATCAGCGCAGAAATTAACCTTCAATACTTGACTTCTAGCCGCTTTCCTAATGATTAAGGGATTTCAAACTATTTGTCACTTCCTGTGGGCTTTAGCTATGAGGAAGTTCTACGAATAACAAGATTCGGATTCGCTACCTTCGCCCCAGTCCCAATCATCATCCAATATCCACCAATTTAATCCAATCAAGATGCCACCTCTCAAGAGCAGGCCGGAGAATAAACGCCATAAAAGGAGGCGGTTCTAGCTTTTCTACATACACGAGCATAGCGAAATAATCAATGAGCGACTGACTCATAATCACTAGGCGCCGCTGGAAGCGGGGAGGTGGGAACCGGTTCAAGGTCCCGCACACATTTCAATATCAATCTTCGATTTGATGACATCACACACGCTGACACGCTGCTCCTCTCCGCCAAAGAGAATTGTGTGCAAAATTTCCAATTACGTTGAGTTTAGGCTGATGGCTGATAGCTGAACGGAGGAGCGCAGCAATGAATGGAATTGAATAAATTGAGAAATTCTCAGCTGGGATGTGGGAGGAAGAATATCACACGAAAAATCCAATAAGCAATTGTTCCAACCCTTTGCCACGGCAACCCCCAACAAAACTAGAAGCTCATCAACACCACTGGAGTTGACCTCTGACAGCGAGTGCACGACCTTTCCCGCCCTCATGCCTGCCTGGTGTCCATCAAAGCCAAATCGATTTTCATTTTCGGGAGTGATTGAAGGTCTTCCCAGCCAGCCCATGCGAGGACTAAATGCACCATTCTTGGTCGAAGTCAACCTACCGCAATCTGAAAGCCAGCTGGGCGACATACTATCTGCATAAACGAGTGAGTAGTAGTATCTCCGAGAGCCTCGTTTTGCCGCCTTTGTGGGCCATCGCGTGCTCGGCGAGAGTTAATTGGGCGGGCGAATAAAATTTCATAATCAACAACTGCTGGCAATGGGAAATTTACGATGTTCCCCCGGGTTGCTGCTGCTGCCAGGGCCTCCTTTTGTCTTTTATTTTTTCGGGGCCATAAAGAGCTGACACAACAAATGGAAAGCAAGGATGACTCATCGTGCACCGCCTCAAGTCCTGCGACCTTCAGCGGGATCCGCGTTCGGGCAACGACATCGGAGCAGGAATTAACTGTCGACTTTTGTTCACAATCTACTCCTTCGTCCTCCTTTCTCACTGAGCTTTCATTATCCCCTTTGGCAGCCTTAGCAGACAATTGCCTGCCTGCCAGCCCCATTCTCATCTCGTCCTGCCCTTCGCTCTACTGCTCCTTAAGCATTTGTTTGTTTTCGTGCGGGTGTCCTTTGCCCTCTGGCCCAGCTGTTTGCGTGCGTCAAATACGTTTCCCACCCGTTCTGCGCCAACACAGGAGCAGGAAGGCGGCGACGAGGACGAGGAAGAGGCCAGGAGGCGTTAGCCAAGCCAACGCCAAGTTGGCGCCATTTCAATGCCAGTTCGGGCTGGAGTATCCGCCGCCGTGGTGCCTGTGAGTGTGACGACGACTGTCAGATGTTTTGGGGACACTCGAAATAGCGATGGGTATTTACATTTACTGCCGCGGCGCAGAAATTTTTAATATCAAAAGTCCCCAGGCGGAAATTCGAATGAATTCCACATGTTCCCGAACTAAATTCATAGCTTTGTCCCGGTAATGAGGTGCGATTATTAAGAGGCTGGCAGGGGAAGACCAAATATTAGCACAGAGGTGCTGATTGGAAGATGATATCACATAGCATTTAACCAAGAGCGACCAAAATCGACTTCAAATGCCATCTGAATGCGCAAAAATAAATAAACACAAGAAGCTAGCTTCGGCACGCCGAAGTTTGTATACCTTCGAAGTTTGCAATTGGATCAGCAAAATTTTAGAAAAATTGCTATTTTTTAGATGGACATTTAATGCTGATCAAGAATATGTATGATTTAAATATAAAAAACTTCTTTACTGCTACAAGCTAGAGGTTTACGCCGATGGTTAAAGGCATCGGCGGCGGCGTAGAGGTCAAAATGACTCGGCGGCGGCGGCGTAGTAGTCAGAAAGAACCGGCGGCGGCGGCGCGTCAAATAAGGCAAAAAGGCCATTTTAATGAGTTATTTATTTTTTTTTAAGTTTTATAAAGAACAATGACACTGAAGGCCGCGCTGAAGCTGCGCCGATGCCGCACCAGCGGCGCGCCGCGGCGCGCCGTTATTTTCATAATTTGGCGGCGGCGCGTCAAATAAGGCAAAAATCGGCGGCGGCGGCGGCGTGGCGCGGCGGCGTATATGTCTACTACAAGCTTATAACTAAAATTATAATACCCTGATACGGCTAGGGAAGAGCAATCACTAGGCAATCAAAGCAAAGTCCCAACATCTGAAATGTGTAAATAAAACAAGTTTTTATGGCAGACAACCGAACCGAGACGAAAGAAAGGTTCAAGTCCCCTGGCAACTGCCCGAAAAAAGAAGGAATGGAATAGAAACGCTCGAAAGCTTATCCAGAACTCATCTTGGAGTTTGTTTTCAAACGGAGTTTGTGGGTCTCAAAGTGCGGACTTGGCGCAGTGCTCCCCTTCCTGCCGGATTTCGCAGGGTATTCAACTCGATTAACATCGAAAATCGATTCTTTCCCCTTCGAAAGCAACACGGAAGCACTTGCCGCCCTCCGGAGTCATAAAGGCCCCGGAACGTATGGTTATTAGGTCGAACGTGCCCGTCACGAGACTCCCGGAGCAGGAAAAGTGTCTGTGCCAGAGTTTCCGGCCGGTTTGCCCCCCTTCCAACCTATCCAAACCCAGGCTAACCCACCCCGGGCCGCCACTTGGGCCGGCGTCCTCGCAATAAAAGCCTTTGATTATGTCCTCTCGTATTCCTGGGAGAGCCAGACAGAGAACTAAAGGAGAGAAAGGTGAGTCCGAGCCCTGTTGTGTCTGCTGCCCGTCTGCTCCTTTATTATTTACAGCCTCCCAAAAAATGGTTGCCTTTGAAGAATTTCCCAATGTAATTTATGTGCGTTTTCCTGGCAAGGAGGCGCTTCTGGCTCGGCGCTTCTTAGCACACATTAAAAATTCATTATTTGGCCCGAAGACAGCCAGAGGAACCCCCAGTTTCGGAACACTTTTTGCGGAATTTAAAGCCGGCTCAGTTTACCCTCAATTCGAGAGCCGGAGACCCTGATTCTGTGGAAAATGGAGCGGGGCGGAGTGGATCCGCTTTCTGACCCAGTTGTGGCGAGGGCAAGGGAGATGCAGCTGCTTACCTGAGCCAATAGTTCCTGGTGCACCGTGCACCTCTCTGTCTCCAGGCGGCCGTCGACACTCGAGATCCTGGAATCGAGAAATGATAAAGCAAACATAAGACTATATAGCGATATATAGCATGTCAATTCCCGCGAATGTTAATCCAAAATCCAAAGCAAAGTTTGCTGCCGTTCTAATTTCAACACATACACACACGCATACGAATTCGCACACACACACACACACACACACGCAAAACTGGTCAGCCAGCGAATGACGTCATTGCCAAGGATGCTGCGCGCGTCCTGAGCCCTCACTATTTGTTGCTATTTTAACGGCAAAACAAACTGTTTTCCCAGAAAGGCGCCAGCAATAATTGCGAGTTAATTAAGCGATTTAGACTGGCGCCAGGCACACACACTGTTTTTTTCGGTCTTCTGGCCCAAAAATGCCGTATAAATAACGGGAAACGCGCGCGCAGAGGCAGAGTCACTTAATAGGAATTGAAAAATAATAACTAACTTGGCTCGCTCGCTCGTATTGCTTCACAATATTCGCCTTAAACGCTCGAATTTTACCGCGAACCTGCGTTTATCCGCAACACACCGTTCCGTTGAACAATTTTTTTCAAACTAACGACTAACGATGACTTCCACAGTGTCAATATATCGATATTTTCTTATCGCGATATCTGTTTGCCCAAAAATCGAAATCGAAACGAAAAGTCTGGCAACACCGCGCCACGGGCTGAGCGAGCGACCAGCGTTGCCAGACGTTTCAAAAAATCGATATTATATTATCGATATTATGTTCTGGTCTCCGATAAGATGTGGTTTCAGTCTCAAATATGGTTCGAACATCAGGTGTGGATTTTTTAGGCGCAAATGCAACCTTTGGGATTTTTTAGGGGAAGCACACCCGGCAACACTGCACTACCAATATCAACAAATTTAAACAATTAAATTCAAAAAAAAAGTTGCAGCGAGCGGACGTGTTTCGACAGAGTCTCTGTGAGTGAGTGTGTGTGTGCGTTGGTGTGAGCTGGGGCTGCAGCTGTCGCCTAAAACAAATAATAGCAGCACGGTTTGCACGCAAATGCGCCGATCGGCGGCGATTCGGGCAGCGTTGGTGCGGAAAAGGGCCAGGAAAAACGGCGAAAACAACGGGATGCATGCGAATTATTTCCCAGACCCAGACCCAACGCCCAAAAGTCGCCGGCGACATGACGCCGCCGCCGGCAGAGACGCCGCAGCCGCTCCCCGCAGCAAATGCAGTTCGAAATACGGGCGTTCGCGGCGGATACGGCTGAATTTGCACAAACGCGGTGCTGACGCGGTGAAATGGGAGCATAAAAAACTACATTTATGTGCGAAATGCGAAAACTTCGTCCACATTGCGCGTGTGTGTGTGGGGCTTGCCTGTGTGTGAGAGAGAGAAGACGGCGAAGAGAGAGCGAGAGAAGGAAAGGATGATGGCCGCGCTTATACCTGCTCCGAAAACTGAGCGGAGCCGAAATTAGAGTATCCAGAAAAGAGGCTTCCAAGCGGCGTTTGTGGCCGCCGACTGCATCTTTGGAAATGCAAACTGGTTAACTCGCAACGTAACGTAACGCTATTTTCCGCTAAATCACCTCCTGCTCCTCCTTTTGTTACCCCTCCCCCCTGCCAGTTGCCCGTAACCGAGCGACGTTGGCTTAAGAAAATGTGTGGCCATATTTTTTTCTTCTCTCCGTCTCCGTCTTTCTTTGCGCTCTCCCTTTTGGAACTCTCGCCGCGCCGCTGTTCTCGCCGCCTCCGTTTTGTGCCGCACTTCCAAGATAAAGAACGCGCGTCTCCCGAGATAAATGCGAAATATTGTATCTGAATGGCCGCCGTTCGCGTTCGTAGTGGAATAACCGAATTGAGTTGGAAACAGCGCACTCATTGTTCTCATCGATTTGTTTTGTCCGACAGAAAAGTGTGTGAAGCCTCCGTAGCGCCGATTACAAGCCGCAAACTAACAAGAAACAACCACGCTACGGAAAGGAACGAGCAGAAAGACTAATTAAACCGCGCCACAGGTCCAACCGCCGCCAAAATGTCGGAAGAAGTCGATCGCAACGATCCGGAGCTCAAGTACCTCTCGGTGGAGCGCAACCAGTTCAACGATCCGGCCACACAGGCCGAGTGGACACAGAAGCGTCTGGTGTGGGTGCCGCACGAGAATCAGGTGAGTTAACCCATGCCCTTGCCTCCCCCTCCCCCGTTCCTAGGGACCTGTAGATCTGCCAGCCAGGCAGGCTCTGATCCTCGCCTGGTTTTTCCACCCCGGCCCATAATGGCTGATTCAGTGCGGGAACCACGCCCGAACCCTAAATTACCTGACATAAAGCAAATTGATAGCTCTGTACGTGAGCGCAAAGGCTACACACAGTGGAACCTCTGCAGGGCGATTTCAAATAGTTTACGAGGTTATTAGGCGTGATTTTACAGACTTAAAGTTTTCGATTCAAAAGCTTTCCTCAGTGTCTGTTATTATTCCAATTAATACCAGCCAGACATAAGTAATCTATTCTGGCAGGTTCCAGCTAAAGAAGTTCCCCCGTAACTCTAATCAGCTTGCGCATTGTTTGTCCCCTGTTTCGAGCTCTTATCGCAGGGGCTGCTCATTCATCGATTGGGGCATGAGTCACGATTGCAATGGCGTTTATTTTTATAAAATTCGGTTAACTAAAACAACTTCTTCGAATTTTTCATTACCTTCACACCGCGGTGATAAAATTGAGTAAACATCTGACGACCGACGCTCGGCTGATTCATGCGTGGATGCTGAAATCATCACATTAGTTGGCCAGCGGGGATTTAACGGTTGAATTGGTCAAATCCGCGATGGTTTGCCGCCAAGAGGCTCTGCGCCATACTCCCAATTTGCATGCAGACCAAAGGCAAGACCCGGCCCAGAGCAGCGACTCACTGACTCACTCCTCGCAAGAGATAGGGAGAGCCAGAGAGTGGGAACCGGGAACGGGCCAAACAAGTTTTTAATCTCTGGCCGGGTATTTGTGTGTTCGATCTGCGTGTGTGTGGCAGCGTTCCGAGCGTGGAAGCAAACAGAGATTGGCCCAAAGAGGCTTCAGCGCCCACTGCTGCTGCTGCTGCTGCTGGCACTCGGTCGGCAGAGAGATGATAACAAAGCTGGCCATTTGTTTTGCTAATTTTGATTGTTTCCCTCTCTGCTCAGCCTTTCCTCTTTGATGAAGATGATTTCTTTCAGGTGTCATTCAACTGCATTCCTCTCGCTCAGGCCTAATTCTAAGGCCATAAAGCTAAACAGATAAAATTAGCGGCCACGGCTGGGGCCTGCCCCCTTCCTCCGACTCCGACTCCGGCACTTGGGTAATTGCTTTATTTGCCAGAGATAATAGCATGGTAGCACTTTTGGGTGACTTCACATAATACATAATAAAAAGAACGACGAAAACAAAGCCAACAACTTCACATTTTTGTGTAATTACGCGATCATTTAAACAGACATTTACTTTACAATGGAATCTCACAGAAAGGCAGCAGCAGCAGCAGCAGCGGCACCAGAGATAAAGTCAAGAAATAAAAACACAAAATACGAAACGGCACGGCTTCGCAAACGCTCTCGATTGTCATGAGTTGTCAGTCGGCGGGTCGGTTGGTCGGTTGGTGGTACCGCCAGCCAGACGAAAAGGCTGAGGGACTGACACATGAGACAGGCAGAAATGTAAAGAAATTTGCATATAGCACACAAACTGTTGCTCCACTGGAATGCCCAGCAGATACAGATACAGAGGCAGATACAGCCACAGCCACAGCTATAGTTTAACGGGAACGGACCCGAACTCGAACCCGGCCAAAAGGGTATTCGCCAATTGTGTCAACACTCCGTTCGTCGCTTCCAGCAACTGTTCCAACTTGCACAATGCAAGGGGAATTTGCTGGATGTCAGTCTGGCGTACGTGTCACTATCCAAATTTATCTATTTACCTGGGAAGTGAGAGCCAACAAGGGACTCTTTGTTGGTGACCAAATTTTGTTTACTGATCACCCAGCGATACTTTCCTCAGTCATGTGGGCTTGATATTTCAGGCCCATGACTCATGTATTTGCACAGAGAGTCGAGTCGAGTCAAAGCGATTTATGTACAACATTCGAGTTGAATTCGACGCCGTTATATCATATTCATTTCTTCGGGCTTTTCCCAAAATCCCTTCTTATCTTGGGGGTTGATTCTTCGGACGTTCCCCCAGCTCCTGATCTGATCCCCTTAAGCAGCATCGAAACTTTTCGTATTGTTAGCCAAATTGAAGTCGGCTTAACCTTCGTCATGCCCAGGGAATCGAATCGATTGTAACGACCGGCGATCATTAAGGGTCTCCGTCGCTCAGTCCGCTTCCCCGCACACCCACACTGGCGCACGATATCGCTTGTTGATATATCCGAGCGTGTCTGTGTCTTACTTGTATTTATAACCAACAGAAACCACTTTGGACTTTGTTTGTGACCACTGCCACTCCCACTCTCCCTGCTCTGTTCCTCCTGCTTCTTGGTCTCGGTTCTGGCAATGTGTGTGTGTGTCTTTTCGGTTACGACGACGACAAACGTAGCCAGCTTTCGACTCTCCACCGTCCGGTTTACGGTCAACGAACCTGCGCCTCGTATCTCGTATCACGTATGTCGAATGTGTAATATACATTTCTTACCCTCTCCTCCGCGGCGAGAGTGTGTGGGTACACACATGAATATGCGTTGATCGATTAAGCGAAGGAATAAAATAAAAGAGTAACAAATTGTTATGGGCCTCATACATACCATACATCTCGTTCGCTTCTGGATTACGTCAGGAGATGGGGCAGGAGGAGCGTATTCATTATTCATTTATTTCAGTTGTTCATTTTCGGTTAAATGTAAACAAACCGAGTTGGCGAAAACCATTCGCTAGCCAGAGTAAATAATGAGTGCAAATATAGATCGCTGTCGTTGGAGGAACCCTGGGCAGGTTCAAGGTTCCAAATTAGTTGAACAGGGATTGCAAGGGCTTCTACACTTGACTCTGTTCCTTGGGTCTCTTATTCCCCATCCCTAACCCCACCATCAATTGCTCTCGTAGGTGTTGCTTTGTGTTTTCTTTGGTTTCGCTCCACCGATTGCCCGGAATGCTCGATGCTCGCGAGAGAATCCGAGACTGATGACCTCATATGCCCCAGCTCTCCTCCTCGCTGCCATGCTGCCGCTTGACTTGGCTGACTGACTCTTGCTAATTTCCTTGGCTCAATAACTCCAATTCATCTCTTGTGGGCATTCCGAGATCGTGATTCATGGACCGATCCGCGCGAAGCAGTTACACTATTTTCCTACTCATCGTTTCCACGTATTTTTTGCCGTCGTAAAGTCTTGTATGTGGTGTGTCCAAACTGTCAAACGTTTTTATGTGCAAATGTTTACGGGGCTGACAGCGGCAGTTCGCAAACTGGGAACTGGTGGAAGGTGGAGGCGGAACAGCCCCAGAAATAAGTCTTGGCACAGTGAAAGTAAATGCGAAAAGGCACTCGAATATTGGTAAATCACTGCTGAATGGCTCCCCTAATGCCGATCAAATGGTTAAAGTTTTCCAAGGAAATTCGCTATGGCCAGATGATGAGGGATAAGGCTGTTTAATAGTGTTGATTTCACGCCTAATTGCTTGGCATTTAAATGCACTCGTTACATGGTCTAAATGGCTTCACATCCGTCATATCCGCCCCGAGAATAACGACTTTCTTATGACTGTTTATCTCTGGTACCGGAAAAGCGCCAAGATAACAAAACACAACACACAGTCGATCCTCAGGCCAAGCAGCCGTCGAGGAAAGAGCACGTCGCGGCTTTTCCGAATCTGATCGCTGGGGCGTGTGCGTGTTTAACTTAATGGACCCGGTCTGGGCTGGGATGCGTTACAGATGCTCCTCCTGCTGCTGCTGCTGCTGCTGCTGCTGGCCCCGTTCCCTGCTCTCCAGTACAGTTGTTGGTTTTAATGCATTTCTGGTTTGCAGCGGCGGCACTTCACTCTCTACCCTTTAATGACTGAATTACGGGTTGCCCCTGATTTGATTAATGTCAATGTGCTGCTTGCACCGGGCTGCCTGCTGCATGCTGCACGCGGCATGCTCCCTACTCCCCATTGTTGTTGTTGCCGTTTCACTTGACTTCTAATTGAAGGCACAGCACAGCTTCCAATGTTGACGCAGCTTTCCCAAGACGTGTGTTTGTGTTCCGTTGAATTTGGTGGAGTGCAGTGCAGATTTTTGGGCAGGGGAAATTCCCAAGAAGCCTAACCGGTGACTCACTAGCTGAATTATTTATTGCTTAATTATAGGCTTATAAGCTTAGTACGAAAAACCTTGTTTTAAGCACCTTAAAGTCAAATTCAGCGCCTTGAACTTGCTGCGGATTGTAGACACCAGCTGGGGCCAGGGGAACACATAGGCAGATGAGCAGGCGACAGGCTGCCAGACAAGCAGACAGACAGTTGCATCTGCCTCCCGTTGTTCTGTTGGCTCGGTGCTTCTGTCTGCCTTGGCCACTTGACTTGGCGCAGTTGTGGTGCCCTCGGAGAGCGTGAGGCTGAGTGGCTCTTCTTCTGGCGCTTGTCTCATGCAGCGCATGCAACGGGAACAGAATCGGAATCTGAATCTGAAACTCTGGTGTTGCACTTGTTGTGTTTATCGCCTACCCGCTGAGCTGAACAAATGGCACACAGGCGAACTGTTTATCTACCTCTCCCTCTCCAGACCCCAACCCCGGATCCCAGATCCCAGCGAATGTGAATATACAACTAACCAATTCCTTTTTGTTTTCTCTACTTTCTTTGCAGGGCTTCGTGGCTGCCAGCATTAAGCGGGAGCATGGCGACGAGGTCGAGGTGGAACTGGCCGAGACCGGCAAGCGGGTGATGATCCTACGCGACGACATACAGAAGATGAATCCGCCAAAGTTCGACAAAGTCGAGGACATGGCCGAGCTGACGTGCCTGAACGAGGCCTCCGTGCTGCACAACATCAAGGACAGATATTACTCTGGCCTGATCTATGTAAGTAACTTGAATTTGTAGGCGTAAGTTGGAATGTTTGTCTTGGCCGCCGGAAAAGTTTCCGCTGTGCCAGCTGCCGGCAATGTGACGCGGCTAGCGTAATAATAATGATGATGATGATGGCGCTGAGTAAACAGCTGGCTTCCCTTTGAAAATTCGGCGGAGGAGAGTATTCCTCATACGAATGTATATTTATTCAAAAAGCTACGCAAATATTTGACACTCTGAAGCCAATCACTCAGGTCTTTTTTGGTTGCATTTTTTGTATGGGATTTATGGCCGTCCACTGGACTCCCTTTCCCCTCCTTTGATTCCGCTGCTGCTAATTGGCATGCCAAAAGCGTTTCCTCTCAACAAATCCACACAATTCGCCAAAAACCTAAAAGCCAGCCAACGAGTTAATTTCGGATCCAATGAGAAACCGATTTCATGCGGCGCATTTGAATTCGGATCCATAAATTCCATCCACTGCTGCTCCTTGTTTTCTTTCACACTTTGTGTATAAATCATTAAGTTAGCGTATTCAATTGCAGTTCCAATTGAATTCGATTTATCTGGTCACATAACTTATGTATTTCCCCCAAAAGGGTAATAAATTCCCTGCCTTAACTCGTCAGAATGAGCATTCTGGGTGAAACTTCAATAAATTTAGAGTCATCTTTGGGGAACGATTAATTCTGATAACACAAAATTTAATTAAAAAAAAGAACAAACACAAAATAAGCTTACAATTGCAAGAATATACAAATTTGGGCTTTCCCATATTATTTTCCTCTTGGGTAAAATAATATCTAAATTCCTTATTTTGTAATTAAGAAAACCATAATTTTTATTTATTCGTGATCGTAGTTAGTTAGCAGCGCGTTATGAGATCCGTTTTGTATTTCCTCATCCCAAAGATACATTGCTGGCAACATGTTGCTGAGCGAATATGTTGCCAAACTACTTGGCTTCAGCTGGTGCTGCTTGCTTGCTTGCTGGGCCCGTGGGTGTTTGTTGCTCCCCTTTGCGCCCATGCGCCTTCTTTCTTCATTTGCTTCTTCTGTCATTCGCCGCCGCCATGTGGCAGGTTCGTTTGCGGCTTGTTTTCCTTTTTCTTTTCCTTCTCTTTTATTGTTTTTTAACAAATTATGTGCCGCTTTTTTACATATTTTATGTACTGCGCCTGCTACTTATCCGCGGCCCCTCTTGCTCGCTCGCTCCTCTCGCTCTCTCGACGCTTTCGGAGTTTTAATTTAATACCCAAACGGCTGTTGTTGTTGTTGTTGCTGTTGCTTTTTAATGTGGGCGCAAACTGCTTTAAATTTGTTTACATTGTTGTTGGCCGTTATGCTCCAGCGCACTTAGCATTGTCTTTTGGCCTGTTGCTCTTCTTGCTTGTTGTTGTCGGCCAATTTTGTGCGCCAGTTTACAATTTACACAATCATGCCACGCACTCTGTTTGCCCTCTTTTCCTACCTCCGCTTGCCCTTGCTCTCCCTTCTCTCCCGATGCCCCACTTAATTCGCTTGCCAATTGTTGCTGACGCGCTCTCGGCCAAACCGCTAACTTGTTGCACGACCCGCTTGGAAGTGGGCGAAGCAAAGGGGGCGGGAGCGGGAGCGAGACGGCGTCAGAGCTGTGGGCGCGCTGCGTTTAACGGCATAATTATTATAATTTGTTGACATCTAATTCGACTTTTAAATTTCATTTAAATTAATTCGCACGGCAGCTGCCGACTGCCGGTAGCATGTAGCTTAATTAATATGCGTCGTCGGCAAGAAGAATGATTATTGCACCGGGACGCACACACGCACACCCTTGAGCACACAGTGGGTACTCGGTATGGAAAACTGAAGGAAATCTCTAGTATTGGTTGAGGATTCTAGCCAACGACATAAGTTTTTGCTTGTGCTACCTAGAATTATTTGCAATTGAATAGACTTTAATTAACAATCGTAGCACCGAGAGTTTACTGCTCAAAACGAGCATTGTCTTTAAGCAAATCAAATTGTCAACACCTTTTGGAAACCACAGCAAATATGGCCAATATGTTTGACACGAAAAATATATAGCAAATTGATTTGGACGGAAAATTGTGTTCCCAGTCGTGGACTAGTGTCCTCATCCCCCTGCTCACTTCCAGATCTCTTCGATTGCCAGCGTAATTGGGGTTGAAATATGTATATTTCACAAAACATTTGCAACTTGTTGGCCGTTGTTGGTGCAATTAATTGATTTATGTCCCACGGGTGACTAAGTGCAATTGCTCAAGTGCAGCCAAGTCGCAAAATATCGAAATTCTGCTTTCAACCAACAGAAAATACGTGAAATGAGACATTTATATTTTTGTTAATATTAAATCCAAGACCTTTAAAGGTTTGTAAATATCTCAGATTAAAAGAAAATTATAATGGTAAAATCAGTTTACTGAACTTCACGTCTCAACGACCTTAGTTCTCGTTTAATAAACAGTTTAAAAATTCACGTATCTCGGCTGCTGATGACTAAGTTGAAGATTATGAAGCGTTTATATATCGAAACGTGCTTTTCCTCATATAATTTCTTATAAGAAAATGATATAACCTAGATGTTTAATATTTATTTTCGATGCCAAAAGAACGGCGGCGACAAGCGGATGACGTTTGCGACTTGGCAGCTGCCGGGAGCTCTGGCTGGTGCTATCTTAATTCGCTTAATTCTAACTGCCACTGGGATTCGCTAATTGAACTGGCAAGGGAATCGATGCGGACGGCATCTCGGGTGGCAGATTAGTGCGGGATTTTGCTGTGGCACTCGAGCTAGTAGAGTCGGCCAGATTCGAATGTCGGCCACGGGCGGGTGCCAATGTGCCGCCTGCCACATGGTGCGTGCACTGTGTGGCAGATAAATTATATTCCCGCATATCAGCCGGGCAATTTGCTCACAAATATTGGCACTAATAGCCGGCGCCAAAGGGGCTGCCGGGCAGCGGAGCGGACCGGACAGCAGAGGTGTCTTTGGGCACGACGTAATTAACATAAAAGGCGCCGCCTTTGCTTTTTCGTTTTTTCGTCGCGTTTGCCCTTGTTTGCTTTGCTCCGCTTGCAACGCGTTCTGCTGACCACATAAGGCCCGAAAGCCGAGTCCGAAAGCGGATCCACTAAATGCCCAAGATTTCAGGCGTCTTATTTGGCTAGAATGGCTGTCCATCTAATGGACTTTCTGAATTTCTCCCCAAACACCTAGAGATGGGTAGTTCTCCGTATGTTCTACAATTGGGAAAAAGTTTAATGAATTTAAGGCATTTTATATCAAATTCGCTTAGTTTAGTACCTTTCTATATGTAAGGACGAATTACACTTGCTTTGCTGGTACATTTTTCGCAGTTAAAAATGTATATAAGTAGGGGATTACATTGATAAACATTTCACGTTTGCCGTAAGACTCACCCCTGCTCTTCCAAGCGAATTCATTTTGCTGTTCAATTAATTGCTCTGCCACTGTCGTTAAATTTGTATACATTTCACAATCTGGCCATATAGGGCTCAAGATCAGGGCAGGCCGTCGTGATTGATGATATGCAGCGGGCACAGATGCACCACTCGCCAGGATAATGACTCAGAGCAGCATAGATTCAGAGATTTAGAGGGCCGTGAGTCAGGAGCGAGCGGAGCAAATGGCGTCACGAGTGACGGCCACTTCTAAACGAATGCCAAAAACAGCAAAGAAACAACAGAGACCGAAACAAAAAACATTTTCTTATACCATTTTTGGATGCCTGACACACGCACACAGTCATACACACAACGTAGCTGATTGGCAAGACGTGATTTTGTTGTGGATTTTCGGGGCGAAAGAGCCGGGCCTGAGTCACTTCCCCTCCTCCCCGGCTGGCTGGAGTTGAAGAGTTGAAGAGGGTAGAGAAACCCTGTTTACTTTCCATTTCGATGATCTGTGTGGGTTGAGCTCCTCCGAGGCTCTCTGGCAAGTCTGCAGCATTCGCATTTAATGCTCGCTTGAATATTTAAATGGTACAACAAACAGCCAAGCCGCATACTTAGTGCCCACGCCGCAGCCCCAGCTCCAATCGCAATCGCAGTTATGTAGGCTGCCGCTCGATAGATACCTTACCACCAACGGATTCGGATACAGATTCAGCAGCGGATACAGCTACATGCGTTCGCTGTTTATGGTGCTGGCCAACTTAAAAGCACATGTCTTGTTAGCCAGATAGCCGGGCGCGAGCCGAGTGTGTGTGTGTGTGTTTGGGCCACACTAACTAGGCCACTGAACATCAGCAGTCGCCGGTCGGAGGCAGTCGTTATCCCAAGCCTTACACAATGGCCAGCATATGCCCCCTGATCATGATCTACCTGGCAAGGGGATTTCCTTTAAAGTAAGACCACCAATGACACTATCCTTGATCTTTTGACTCTACTATTTACCATCACCTTTAGCGAACCATAATCCAAATATATGTTTCATATATTTATTATATTCATTTAAGATCTTTTTACCAATTTAATAACATTAGTCTTAATACCAAGTAAAAACTGATTACTAAACGTATGCCTTTTCTTTCAGACATATTCCGGTCTCTTCTGCGTTGTGGTTAATCCCTACAAGAAGCTGCCCATTTACACCGAAAAGATAATGGAGCGGTACAAGGGCATAAAGCGACATGAAGTGCCTCCGCATGTATTTGCAATAACGGATAGTGCCTATAGAAACATGTTGGGTGGTGAGTAATATCCTCTTTTACTTTCCCTTTTCTCTTTGGAGCCAACTGCAGGGCCCCGATATCGGTGCAGTATCTGCTCTTTTGCTCCTCCGCCTCTTGTTTGCCCCGCGTTGCGATTTCTCTGCGTTATCGAAAATTCCATTCCGCATAAACAAGCGAAAATGCTACTCAACCCCCGAGAGGGCGAACTGCTGCAGATAAGATAAGGTTTGGCCAAGTTTGCTTTCAGGTCGAGTATTTCCAGGAATTACGTAAATTTTTCAATGCTTTCTTAAAAAAAAGAATGAAGAAAACATATGAAAGAACTCCTGGAATTTCAGCTGAACAAATCCGGTGAATGAATCACCTGGAAATGTGTTCCTGGGACTGAGTAGACGCTCCTAATCAGAGTATCAGCCCCATAAACTGGTTTCCTCTTTCAGCGCTTGCATTTGCTTGCAAATGGCAATTTTTTCCGTTTTCATTTTCGTTTTCATAGCTGTTGTTGGCTTCAGTGAATTTCGATGGTTTGCATGTCCGTTCCAAGCGTAACGTCGCACCGGGAGATGACTCACCCTGCGGAGCAACTCCAGTCCCGAGGCCAGGCACATCTTGCTGTTGTTGTCTATAGGTGTTCCCCTGCTCGAGACTTGAGGCTTGAGTTTGGCTAACTAATACTGCGTGTACGTGTGATGGCCATATATGGATGCAAAACTCAAGCCGGCTATGCTTGGACAGCAAGCATTTTGTTTGCCCCATCATCATCATCATCATCTGGGCTTGAAAAGTTTAAACAAATCGTCACCTCACTCAGTCCCCGCTGGCTCGCCATATTTGACGCTTAATAAATTTCTGTTTATGCACATTTGCCCGATTGTATTTCCCTTGAATATTTGTTGTGAGCAAAGGCAGCACCAGCACCCCCTCCCTTTGGGGAGTGGCCGCAGTTTCATTGATTTATGGCGCTGCGAGCAGCCTTAAGCCTTAAGTCACCTCTGACTCCATTGCCCTGGAACACGCACCACAATCCAATCCAATCTGCGACTGGACAACACCTTTATCTGTTTGAAGCTCCGGCAAATCTTGCGATTCCGGCAAACTGCATTTTTTATGGCATTCCATTTCCATTCCATGGCATATTTTGAACATAATAATGTGCCAATGTCATAAGAGATATAGTGACACGCCTTGACTTTGACTGTGGTTTTGCAGTATATATATATAACTTGCATATGTTTATATATATATATTTGAATACGGGTACCATTGAACAGATGTTTTTGCTTTTATTTAATTTTTGGCAGTTGTTTGCTGTACAGAAATTTATTTTGGGAGTGTCACTTTTTTATTATCTTTCAGGGTATTAAAATTTCAGTCAGAAGCTATTAATGCAATGAAAAAAGACATTTCCGATCCTATAAATCATATATATTCTTGATCAGCATTTACAGGCGCTTCTTTCTAGTCATCTTGGGAAGAAATAAGAAATTTTAAATTTTTTCAAAATTTTTTAAGGGGTTACATCGTTAAAATTCTCAAAAACTCGCAAAAATCTTCATATCTTAAAATTTAAAATTCAGTATGCAGATTTTTTAACCTAGAAAAAAATAGAATAGAATAGCTTTCCGAATTGAAATTAATGAATTTTTGCCTTAGTTATGACTCGTTTCAAATGGGCAAGGGTATACAAACTTTGGCTTCTCTATGTTGGGTTTCTTTCTATAAAATTGCTTGGAAAAGATAAGTTCATTTATTAGATTCTCAGCTTTTATCTATTACGACTTTTAATAGTGTAGGTGTGATAATTCTAATTGTGTTTTATTTGTTTGTTTTTCCACAAGAGTAAAACCATTTCCAGGGTTTAGATGAAGTCTTTAAATGTTCCTTTAACTCTATGCAGCATTATACATACAGGAAATGCTTTTATGTTGAAATAATTTTTATTAATGATCAATTTAAGATTTAATTGCTACTTGAAATGATCATGTGTTTATTGCATAAAACTATTCAAAAAAAAAATTAGCAAAAAAATACACAAAAAAGCGTTCAATTAATACCCATAAAATGACGTGTCAAGATATATTCGCTAGATATTTCAGCCCATTTATGGTTGGATATTGAATGTAGTATGTATAAATATGCGACCGGCTTTAGCCATAATAATAAATAAGTACGGGGTCGTGATGTTGCTCCATGCCTCCAAATCTATTGGCAATCAGTGGGGATATATCTACTGGCTGCTGCCCGAGTTTGTGGTTAGCTCAATGCTGGGATCGGATGACGAGGCTGCCGGGTGCCGGGTGGCTGCAGTGCAAATCTAGTTCGCCGTATTCTAGATGGGATCATTGGCGCCATATCAATAGCTACAGCAATTTACTGCCGCTGCCAGCCGTCGTTTCTGTGTATCTCTTAGATACGCAGACACACTGAAATCAACAGTTTTTGTTTTCATTTTCAATTGATGTATGCCTCATTTTTCCCCTCCACCTCTCTCTTATTTTATTTCGCTTTTTGTTTTTGCTCGCTCGAATTTGGGTCAACAGAAACTTCAAGCTGAGCTTGGCTTTTTACATTTTAATTTCATTTTTGGATGGCTCAGCCGAATTGTTGCGCTGCAGAAGTGTGTCACTGGCCCCCTCATTATCCCCTCTTACCGACTCTCACTCACACTCTTTTCCCCCCTCTTCCTTTGCAGATCGCGAAGACCAATCGATCTTGTGTACTGGCGAGTCGGGTGCTGGCAAAACGGAGAACACCAAGAAGGTCATCCAGTTTCTGGCCTATGTGGCAGCCTCCAAGCCCAAGGGCTCGGGTGCGGTAAGTAGTAGTGGGCAAGGGCAGTGGGGCGAAATGCGTCCATATCCCTCAGAAGGTATTGAGGCAAATGCAAAGCTATAGCCACCAGTTTGTGGGTGAGTGCGTCGGAGGCACTCAGTTGGGGCTTTGTGTCCGTACATTGCTTATTAAATTCACATTATTGGCACGCAAGCCTCTGGCAATCGGTTTATATTGTAATTAATTAGACAAACGAGCTACGACGATGCTTTTATAAAATCGAATGTGTTTATCGTCGGCGGCGGCGAATTGCCTTTAATACGCCTGCAAGCCGTTGACTTCTTTAGTAGGAGTGCTGAGCAAATGTTCTCTCTCCTCCTACCATTATTTTGGATTCACTGATCGGGTGATCACAATGCCATTCGCCATGTAGAACTAGATATAAAAGAGCAGCAAGCTCTCCCCATATGGCGGAGGGTTACGCTTTAATATCTGGCAGCTGGTTTATGTAGGGTGAGTCCCCACCACAACCACAGCCAGCACCAAGAGCACACTTCATTAATCAAGAGCCATAAGTTGCTGACAAATTTTTGTCATTTACAGCAATAAAATAAACACCATAAAAAAAGAGAAATTGAAATTGAACTGCTGCTGCTGACAAAAAGGCAATTGATAAAACAAAAAATTGAAATTGAAATTAAATCGCAAAGCTTGCGACATTTTCGATGATTTTCTTGGGAACAGCTCCCTGTTCGCTACTGTGCTGGGATTGCCATAACCATAATTGGGGTTGATACAAAAAAAACCAAGCAGTGTGTATATTTTGGACATGCACAGTCGATCCTTGTGAGCGCAAACAAGCTGCTCTTGAGCTCCAAACACACTTTGTGTTATGTTTTATGCGTTTACTGCCATATATGAGCCTGATGCTGACTTTAGTTAGCTGACTTGGCAGCTGTGAACGTGATAAGCTGCAAATATATACTCGGGGAGTTAGTCTTATGCTAAATTTAAGTGCTTGAATCTTTTGTTTTTGCAAAGATAAAGGCACAGTAAAAATTCTAGCTCAGTTAGCCCATTAGTTAGTCTATCAAGAACTTGAGGTAAATGGAAACTACTGATTACAAGTGCTTGGGCTCAGCACTTGTGTGATTCCAACTCCCATAAATAGACGCTGATGATAGGTGATACTATATGGCAAAGGCAAACAACAGCAACGACCATCACTGAATCATCGGAAGTTGTTGCTACGAAGGGAATTGATTTCGGTGTGATTAGAAATTAGTTTGTGTTGAGCGAGAGACACTTTTTATCAGTTTAGATAGCAGAAGCAATGGGGAAAAAGGCAGCGATATAACTTTGCATTTGTCTGAGAGAGTTTTTTTCGACTTTTTCTTAGTTGTTTTTTCCATTTTCTTCTGTTTTTGCTTCAAGCTGAGAGGTGATTAGCCAAAAGATTTGCCTCCAATATACATATGTATTTTTATTTATTGATCGATCTTCTTTATTTTCATGTCCTACTACACAAAAACACCACCCAACTATGCCACACCTATAAATAAACGCACACACGCCACACCATAACACACCACACACACACACTTGGTTGTTGTCTCCACTTCTCAACTGAATTCTGCTACAAAATATCCTTAAATGCAAACGTTTTGTACATTTTCCACGGTGTATATACATGTGTAATCTACAACCAAACCGATTTGAACCTCAACACCACCTCCAACACTCCAATTGACTACAAACCACCAACTCCGACAGGTGCCGAATCCCGCCGTGCTCATTGTAAGTATTCGAGGAATGACCCTCTGACAATGTTATCCCGTTTTATGTTTCCAAATTAATTTAAATTATGTTTGTAAAAGAAAATGCCCATCTTTTCTTTAACTCCTACCTTCCTTCCTTGTCTCTAACATCTATACCCTTGCAGGATATTGTAATTTCAATTTGAAGCTTGCCAATCAGTGAAGGAGTCATTTCCGAATTGATTTTAATATATTTTTTAATTAGTTATGCTATTTTTAGGCTTTGATTTGTCCGAAATATTTATATATAAAAACAATGATAAATGTCCATTTACAGAATTCAAATATTTTCGTCAGCATAGAAAAGAAAAGCTTTCTGAACTGAAATTTAAAGCATTTTTGGCTGAGCTAGGATCGATTTTTAATGGCTAACTGCAAGGGTATACAAATTTCGGCTTGCCGAAGTTAGTTTCCTTTCTTGCTCCCTTATGATATAATAAACAAGATGCGTAACGCCACTTGAATTTTTCGAGCTGACGTCAGGAGCTACAGAAAAATGTGTAGCGCGTTATGCATATTATTCATTATATTATCTTTGGCTCTACGCTTTCCCATTTCATCAACTCTTTGACCTGAATCTAAGTATTAACCCACTCCAAATGAACTCTCCCCCTCTTCGTTTTGTGTCTCCCTTGTTTGTCGCCCCACCACCCAAGCCAACATCTACTCAATCTCATCTCTCTGCTCTGATCCGATCTGCTCTGCTCTGCCCCCTTCTTGTACTCCATATGCCAACGCCATTTTAGAGTAGTCATCAAGAGACATTTGCGGTAATGTATGCGTCTTGCCAAAAACCAAAACGAACCATGTGTAGTATAGCCCCTGTATATGATGGTTGCGTATGCGGCGTATGCCTTTATGTTTTCGTCGTTGAGCTGATTTTATTTTGTTGCGGAATGTAGCCACAATTTCTTTGTACATATGTATATTATTTCAAGACTGGAGATAAAGATCTGCCCGAGAAAAGCTCGAAAAGCCCCATTCCGCATCCCGTAATCCCGTTCCCAACTAATTGCAGAACTTCTCCGTGAACACAAACAAGTACATAAGGGTAAGGATTGTGACCCAGGGTCAGAGTGAGTCGTCCATCGAGGTAACCAATGGAGTGAAGATGCTGGAAGTGGGTAATTCCAGCGGTGGTCCAGAGGTAAACTCCAGATGACCACCGACCGTGACAAGCTTTAGGAGATCGTCCAGTGTTTAGAGTTGAGATTCCCGCTTTTGTTTGCATGGCTTTGCTTTCTCCTTTTGCATGTTTCTGTAGACTAAAATGTAATCTAAGCACCGCTTGTGATGTCATCCACCGTGTCCTTGTCTGTTTGTGTGTAGATCGCTTTGTGTATGTTTGTTTGTTGCTAACCCGTAACCTATATTTCATGTAATGCAATTGTTCTCACACACATTCCTCCCATCTCCACACACACAGGGCGAGCTGGAGCAACAGCTGCTGCAGGCGAATCCCATTCTGGAGGCCTTCGGCAACGCCAAGACCGTCAAGAACGACAACTCGTCGCGTTTCGTAAGTGCTGAATCGAAGTGGCTCCAAACAGGAGGAGAGAATGCATCACTCATTAATCGCATTGCAGGGCAAGTTCATCCGGATCAACTTTGATGCCTCCGGCTTCATCTCGGGGGCCAACATTGAGACCTATCTGCTGGAGAAGTCGCGTGCCATTCGTCAAGCGAAGGACGAACGAACATTCCATATTTTCTACCAACTGCTGGCGGGCGCCTCGCCGGAGCAGCGCGAAAAGTTCATACTCGATGACGTCAAGTCGTATGCATTCCTGTCCAACGGCAGCTTGCCCGTGCCCGGCGTGGACGACTATGCCGAGTTCCAGGCCACGGTCAAGTCGATGAACATCATGGGCATGACATCCGAGGACTTCAACTCGATATTCCGCATCGTGAGCGCCGTCCTCCTGTTCGGCAGCATGAAGTTCCGACAGGAGCGCAACAACGACCAGGCCACGCTCCCAGACAACACGGTGGCCCAGAAGATCGCCCACCTGCTCGGCCTCAGTGTGACGGACATGACGCGAGCCTTCCTGACGCCACGCATCAAGGTGGGCCGCGACTTTGTCACCAAGGCCCAGACCAAGGAGCAGGTGGAGTTTGCCGTGGAGGCCATTGCCAAGGCGTGCTACGAGCGCATGTTCAAGTGGCTGGTGAACCGCATCAACCGCTCCCTGGACCGCACCAAGCGGCAGGGCGCCTCCTTCATCGGCATCCTCGATATGGCCGGTTTCGAGATCTTCGAGCTCAACTCGTTCGAGCAGCTGTGCATCAACTACACCAACGAGAAGCTGCAGCAGCTCTTCAACCACACCATGTTCATCCTGGAGCAGGAGGAGTACCAGCGCGAGGGCATCGAGTGGAAGTTCATCGACTTCGGGCTGGACCTGCAGCCCACAATCGACCTGATCGACAAACCCGGCGGCATCATGGCCCTGCTGGACGAGGAGTGCTGGTTCCCCAAGGCCACCGACAAGACGTTCGTCGACAAGCTCGTCTCGGCCCACTCCATGCACCCCAAGTTCATGAAGACGGACTTCCGCGGCGTGGCGGACTTCGCCATCGTCCACTATGCCGGCCGCGTGGACTACTCGGCCGCCAAGTGGCTGATGAAGAACATGGACCCGCTGAACGAGAACATCGTGTCGCTGCTGCAGGGCTCGCAGGATCCGTTCGTGGTGAACATCTGGAAGGATGCGGAGATCGTTGGCATGGCACAGCAGGCCCTGACCGACACCCAGTTCGGGGCCCGCACGCGCAAGGGCATGTTCCGCACCGTGTCGCATCTGTACAAGGAGCAGCTGGCCAAGCTGATGGACACGCTGCGCAACACGAACCCCAACTTTGTGCGCTGTATCATACCGAACCACGAGAAGCGCGCCGGCAAGATCGATGCCCCCCTGGTGCTCGACCAGTTGCGTTGCAACGGCGTCCTCGAGGGCATCCGCATCTGCCGCCAGGGCTTCCCCAATCGCATACCCTTCCAGGAGTTCCGCCAGCGTTACGAACTGCTCACGCCCAACGTCATTCCCAAGGGCTTCATGGACGGCAAGAAGGCCTGCGAGAAGATGATCCAGGCGCTGGAGCTCGACTCGAACCTTTATCGAGTGGGCCAGTCGAAGATCTTCTTCCGCGCCGGCGTCCTCGCCCACCTGGAGGAGGAGCGTGACTTCAAGATCTCCGACCTGATTGTCAACTTCCAGGCCTTCTGCCGTGGCTTCCTGGCCCGCCGCAACTACCAGAAGCGGCTGCAGCAGCTCAACGCCATCCGGATCATCCAGCGCAACTGCGCCGCCTATCTCAAGCTCCGCAACTGGCAGTGGTGGCGTCTCTACACGAAGGTCAAGCCCCTGCTGGAGGTGACCAAGCAGGAGGAGAAGCTTGTCCAAAAGGAGGACGAGCTGAAGCAGGTGCGCGAGAAGCTGGACACGCTGGCGAAGAACACACAGGAGTACGAGCGCAAGTATCAGCAGGCTCTAGTGGAGAAGACCACGCTGGCGGAGCAGCTGCAGGCCGAGATCGAGCTGTGCGCCGAGGCTGAGGAGTCGCGTTCGCGTCTGATGGCTCGCAAGCAGGAGCTGGAGGACATGATGCAGGAGCTGGAGACCCGCATCGAAGAGGAGGAGGAGCGCGTTCTGGCCCTTGGCGGCGAGAAAAAGAAGCTCGAGCTGCATATCCAGGATCTGGAGGAGCAGCTGGAGGAGGAGGAGGCCGCTCGCCAGAAGCTGCAGCTGGAGAAGGTGCAGCTCGACGCCAAGATTAAGAAGCACGAGGAAGACCATGCCATCACCGACGATCAGAACCAGAAGCTGCTCAAGGAGAAGAAGCTGCTGGAGGAGCGCGCCAACGATCTCTCCCAGACGCTGGCCGAGGAGGAGGAGAAGGCCAAGCACCTGGCCAAGCTCAAGGCCAAGCACGAGGCCACCATTGCAGAGCTGGAGGAGCGCATGCACAAGGATCAGCAGGTGCGACAGGAGTCCGATCGCACCAAGCGGAAGATTGAGACCGAGGTCGCCGACCTCAAAGAACAGCTCAACGAGCGTCGCGTCCAGGTGGAGGAGATGCAGGCCCAGCTGGCCAAGCGCGAGGAGGAGCTCACCCAGACCCTGATGCGGATAGACGAGGAGTCGGCCACCAAGGCCACTGCCCAGAAGGCGCAGCGCGAGCTTGAGTCGCAGCTGGCCGAAATACAGGAGGATCTCGAGGCCGAGAAGCTGGCCCGTGCCAAGGCCGAAAAGGTGCGTCGCGACCTCAGCGAGGAGCTCGAGGCGCTGAAGAACGAGTTGCTGGACTCCCTGGACACCACAGCCGGTAGGTTTTCGAGTCTCTCCCAGTGGAATCACAAATAATAATTTTCTCAAATATAACAGCCCAGCAGGAGCTGCGTTCTAAGCGCGAGCAAGAGCTGGCCACCCTGAAGAAGTCGCTGGAGGAGGAGACGGTCAACCACGAGGGCGTCTTGGCCGACATGCGGCACAAGCACTCCCAGGAGCTGAACAGCATCAATGACCAGCTGGAGAACCTGCGCAAGGCTAAGGCTGGTCTCGAGAAGGCCAAGGGCACCCTGGAGGCGGAGAATGCAGACCTGGCTACCGAGCTGCGTAGCGTTAATAGCTCGCGGCAGGAGAACGATCGCCGGCGGAAGCAGGCCGAGTCTCAGATAGCCGAGTTGCAGGTAAGACCGCATTACACATCCCAGTGACACAATTCCTTCACCAATTCTGTCCACTTAATCCTCAGGTTAAGCTGGCCGAGATCGAACGCGCCCGCTCGGAGCTGCAGGAGAAGTGCACAAAGCTGCAGCAGGAGGCAGAGAACATCACCAATCAGCTGGAGGAAGCGGAACTAAAGGCCTCCGCTGCCGTCAAATCGGCCAGCAACATGGAGTCGCAGCTCACTGAGGCTCAGCAGTTGCTGGAGGAGGAGACGCGCCAGAAGCTGGGCCTCAGCTCCAAGCTGCGTCAGATCGAGTCCGAAAAGGAGGCGTTGCAGGAACAGCTCGAGGAGGATGAGGAGGCCAAGCGGAACTTTGAACGCAAACTGGCCGAGGTCACCGCCCAAATGCAGGAGATCAAGAAGAAGGCCGAGGAGGACGCCGATCTGGCCAAGGAGCTGGAGGAGGGCAAGAAGCGGCTCAACAAGGACATCGAGGCCCTGGAGCGGCAGGTCAAGGAGCTCATCGCCCAGAACGACCGGCTGGACAAGAGCAAAAAGAAGATTCAGTCGGAGCTGGAGGACGCCACCATCGAGCTGGAAGCGCAGCGCACGAAGGTGCTCGAGCTGGAGAAGAAGCAGAAGAACTTCGACAAAATCCTCGCCGAGGAGAAAGCCATATCAGAGCAGATCGCCCAGGAGCGCGACACTGCCGAGCGGGAGGCGCGCGAGAAGGAGACCAAGGTGCTGTCGGTGTCCCGCGAGCTGGACGAGGCCTTTGACAAGATCGAGGACCTCGAGAACAAGCGGAAGCAGCTCCAGAACGAGCTCGACGACCTGGCCAACACGCAGGGCACCGCCGACAAGAACGTCCACGAGCTGGAGAAGGCGAAGCGGGCGCTGGAGTCGCAGCTGGCGGAGTTGAAAGCACAAAACGAGGAGCTCGAGGACGATCTGCAGCTGACGGAGGATGCCAAGCTGCGCCTGGAGGTCAACATGCAGGCCCTGCGCTCCCAGTTCGACCGCGATCTGCAGGCCAAGGAGGAGGGCGCCGAGGAGAAGCGCCGCGGCCTGGTCAAGCAGCTGCGCGATCTCGAGGCCGAGCTTGACGAGGAGCGAAAGCAGCGCACCGCCGCTGTGGCGGCTAAGAAGAAGCTGGAGGGCGATTTGAAGGAGATCGAAACCACCATGGAGATGCATAACAAGGTGAAGGACGATGCCCTGAAGCACGCCAAGAAGCTGCAGCTGCAGGTCAAGGATGCGCTGCGCGATGCCGAGGAGGCCAAGGCGGCCAAGGAGGAGCTGCAGGCGCTGAGCAAGGAGGCCGAACGCAAGGTCAAGGCCCTGGAGGCGGAAGTATTGCAGCTGACCGAGGATCTGGCCAGCTCGGAGAGGGCTCGCCGCGCCGCCGAAACGGAACGCGACGAACTGGCAGAGGAGATCGCCAACAATGCCAACAAGGGATCCCTGATGATCGACGAGAAGCGCCGCCTGGAGACCCGCATTGCCACTCTCGAGGAGGAGCTGGAGGAGGAGCAGTCCAACTCGGAGGTGCTGTTGGACCGCAGCCGCAAGGCGCAGCTGCAGATCGAGCAGCTGACCACCGAACTGGCCAACGAGAAGTCCAACTCGCAGAAGAACGAGAACGGTCGCGCCCTTCTTGAGCGCCAGAACAAGGAGCTGAAGGCCAAGCTGGCCGAGATCGAGACGGCGCAGCGCACAAAGGTGAAGGCCACCATTGCCACGCTCGAGGCCAAGATTGCCAACCTGGAGGAGCAGCTGGAGAACGAGGGCAAGGAGCGGCTGCTGCAGCAGAAGGCCAACCGTAAGATGGACAAAAAGATCAAGGAGCTGACAATGAACATCGAGGACGAGAGGCGCCACGTCGACCAGCACAAGGAGCAAATGGATAAGGTGAGCCGTGAAAAATCTGGCTCCTGGCAAAATTTATATATTACTTAAATTTTTTTTCGTTCTTACAGCTGAATAGCCGCATCAAGCTACTCAAGCGCAATCTGGACGAGACCGAGGAGGAGCTGCAGAAGGAGAAGACGCAGAAGCGCAAGTACCAGCGGGAGTGCGAGGACATGATTGAATCGCAGGAGGCCATGAACCGTGAGATTAACTCACTCAAAACGAAATTACGGTGAGTGAAGCCCCTTGTCAGGCAATGCATTCGTTAGAGCTGGACCTGGATGGGGGTGGGGGGAGTCTTCTCCTTGGGCCTTTTTTCTGGGTTGCATTTTGATTATTTTGTTTTGAAATTTGTCTTTGGTTCAAGCTCCATACAAGTGGCCGAGACTGAAAAGGCCAAGGCCTACTCGCCCAAAAAGGATGCCGCACTCATTATGAATTGTGAGGGTCTGCATTAGGTTTCCTTTCGCTTCGATTCGCTTCGTTTTCTTCTCGTAGGCTGTAAGTGCTGCCGCAGAGTCCGCAGAATCCGCAGAATCCAGTGAATGTCAACCGAACCCTTCCATCGTCTTTTCTCTGCATGTTAGGACAGACAGAACACCACACCAAACCAATCCAAAATGTGCGATTTAATGCCGCTCCTTCAACTTCCCTCCAAAATAGATCATAGAACGTTTTCCTATCTGTTTTTATTTTATCTGTTGCCCCTGCACTCTGCACGTTCACCCAGAAGTCCAGGCCAATACATGTACTAATCCTCCGTCTCGATCTTTCCCTTCCCAGACGCACCGGCGGTATGGGCCTCAGCTCCAGCCGGCTCACGGGCACACCTTCATCAAAGCGCACCGGCGGCGGCGGCGGCGGTGGAGACGACAGCTCATCGGTGCAGGATGAATCCCTAGATGGAGAGGACTCTGGCAATTGACGCGTTAATTATTAGGTGAAGCAGAAGCGAAATTGGAAGAGAATAAGGAAGTGAAGAAGGCGGAGGAAGGTGAAGATGATGAGCGAAATAAACGATTATCTTTAATGTTTCTTTTATATAATTTCTCTGTTATTTTTTATATAAACTATTATACATACTTAAATTAAAACGTAAACAAACAAAACCAACATTTTTATAACGAAAAAACGTAAACATACAAAAAAAAAAAACAATGTTGTAAAACACTCCCACTTTATACAAAACCATAAACACATAAGATACTTTCCCCATCCCTCGAATGGCTGCAGTTTTGTGGGCAGCCAACGAAAATAAACGTAAAATTATACAACACAAACCAACCAAGAAACGTATTAACTTTGAGCTCCTCCTCCGAATCCGAAGTCCATATAACAAACAGTCCAATGACTCAATGCTTGCAGAGAGCCAGCAAGAGCCTCAAAAGGACACTCATTGCCACATCAATTAATTACCTAACATAGAACACATAGAGTACTACTCGATGCAATATGTAATTCATGCATTTAACAACTAAAAAAAACGGTTTTCAAACAGAAATCGAGATCTGAACAGACCAGAAAATCAAATGTTGAACACGCAGCTAATATACGAATTTCGTTTTTGTTTAGAACTAAACAATAAAATATTTGCTACATGAACTGGATTTTTCTTTGGGTAGTTCAAAGCAATTAGGTAGTGGTTCGTCTTTTATATACCATTCATTTTTTTTTAATGAGGTTTATAAATCTACTCAAAGATTATAGAAGGCTCCGCTACAAGTCATAAACAGTTTATTGAACATTTTGTTTTTACAACATATATACAGCTGATAACTACAGACTAAAGGTAACTGGCGACTCTTTGTAGACTAAAGCTTACTCTTATTCGGTAAGAACTATTCTAGGATAAGCGCAGACAAATTCGAAAATCTCATCAAGTTGAAAAAACAACAACTTTCCCCCGTACCCGCCCCTAACTAAATAACTAATGGCACTGTTCGATCACACGGATGGATGGCTAGCTACACCGACACCGGCATGTTGACGTGCTGCACCACGACGATTCCGCTGTTCAACGCCTCCAGCTCGGCGGATGACTTACTCTCCTGGAGCTGCTCCTCACGCCGGCTGTTCAGGAAGTAGACCCCGGCGATGATAAGGCTGAACGATGTCACCGATATGAGAAGGGTGCCGTACTTGAGAGCGAGCTGTATGGCGTCCAGGCCATAGGTGGTCATGAAGAGTGTGTGAAGCACATCTTCACCGAAGTCACCCGCGGTGATCTCGATCCAGATCAGCGGAAGTATGGTGGCATTAGCTATGCGCTCGGCCTTATCTGGAATAGATAGGATCGTGAGTAAAGGGGAAAGGATGTCCTCTAAGCCCTACTTACTTTCCAGTAATGGCGTCTTGTCAAGCATGATGTTGATCTGGACGCGTGAGGCTCCGCCGATGGGAAAGCCAAAGCGCGGATGGATATCGGCGTACGTCTGGTGCAGTTCCGCCACGGGTTTAATTCCATCAAAGAGATCGTAGTACGTCTTATTGCCGGTGAAAAAGTGCGGAAATGAGGGAAAGATGGGCGAGTCCCCGTAGCACTTGGTGGCGTTGATCACCCCGCTCTCGAAGCACATCTCCGTGTTCTTGCAGTAGCACGCGTTCGCTGGATTAAATTCGGGTTTGGCAAACACATTCATGGGCGTCTTGTAGCGAATCGCATCAATGTTGTTCAAGATGGTAACCTCCTTCTCGAAATGGAGCGGCACTTTCCGGCACAGGACCTGAAGGAACACATTTATGATGCTTCGATTCTGTAGCAGGTTCGGCGAGAACATTGAGGGCTCTGAGCCGTCAATGCGATTGCACTCGTCGCCATCCCAGTAGTCCAGCTGCGGCATCCCATTGAACTGGGTGATAATGCTGAATTTCCTGATGTCGTCCTCGCCTGTGTTTAGCTGCACCGAATCCACGCTGGTTCCGTTGCGCTAAGGAAAGATACCTATTAGAAAGCCGGGCAATGAACGCTTCAGAGGCTGGCACTTACGTTCATCAGGAGGCCAAAGCGCCTCTTCCCCATGCCCAGACTCTTCAGCTTGATGATCTTGTCCTCGTAACCCCAGAGAAAATCGGAGGCCGTTAGATTTTTGAAGAGCGGCTCCTTGTACTGTTTGATGAAGAAGCCGGCGAGTAATCGATCGCCGTACGCCATGCGTTTTACGTGTCCAGCTGCTGAGATAAGTGGCACATTTGGAACCATCAGCACCTCGTCCTCCCCAACAGACGACTTTTCCGGCAGAAACTTGTACGATTTGCGATCCTGAAATGGAATCACATGGTTGAGCCCAGGCAACACTCGTGAATGTCGGCATGATCCTTACCCTGAAGGTGACCGTAAAGTTATTGTTGAAGGAAACTTCATCTTTGACAGTGTGTTCTTGGTAAGTGAGCGGACCCACGTCCACGACTTTTATCTTGTCCGCCCGCCCCGCCAAGTAGTCATCGATATTGGGATAATGGAATATGTGCGCCTTCAGTAAGGTGTCGAATTTGGGGTCTGGGTTGAGCCAGTCTCTGGCCGTTTCCGAATTCTCGGCCAGAATCAGATTCTGTGGGTTAGTTCGATTTAGCTGGAAAGTAGTATTAAAGACTGCATAGTAGCATTTCTCACCTCCAGCATTGTGTTGTTGTAGAACTCGGTGAACCACATCACGAAGAATCCAGTGACGCCGATCACGAACAGCAGAAACATTACGCCCAGCACTGGGGGAAACGAAGGACGCGGATTAATCGAGCTGCCCGGCTTATCAACGGCGCTCTACTCACTTATCAGGGTTCCAATATCCTTGGACGTTGGCTCGTGGCTCTGCGCCTGATTTCGCAGTCCCAAGGCCTCCAGTATCATCTGCGGCACCGGCTTTGGCTTCGCGGCCCCATTCGCCATGGCGTAGCCCCCGAAGGTTCCCGTGCCCACCCTGTTCAGCTGGGAGTTGAGTGTGTTGGATTTGGACCTGATGGCGGCCACTGTGAGATCGCAGTCTTGGTGAGCAACCTCAGGGTTGCTGGTGGCTGCACGTGGCATTGTGGGTGTATCTGGGGCAGAGCTGAAAGTATTGTAAATGGAAGAGTTCTTATCGGGGGCTTATGTAAATCCCAATATTACGCCACAGCCTCCACGATATGTGCTTATTCCCTCCCATAAGCTATCTGTAGAAAGGCAAACACGTGGCGCCTCAAAGGGATAGCTTTGGCAGTAGATTACTAGCTTATCAGGCTGATTCTGGGACTTAAACTCGGGTTCAATGAACACATAGGCACAACTACAACAACTAGATTGTATCACTATTTTAGAGTCTCTGCGACGTACCTATAACACCTCTAGGAGCAATAGTATTTGTTGGATTTAATTGGTGCTAGGATCGATTATAATTAGTCAGTGGTTCGTTGTTCTCGATTCTCGGAGCAATCTTCCGCGGCTCGAGGATTCTTAACCATGCGATTACAGATGTTTTCACAAACTAATCGGTGCTTATATTCCCAGAGCCTTCGCATGCTGCTCGGCGATCGCTGCTTCTGCCCGTGCTGAAATCAAAGTTCAGCTCTATATACTCTCGTTCTTATCAGCAGCTTCTAGGAACACATATGTATATTCGTGGTCCCAGTAGTATGTGCTAGGCATTAATTCATAAATTAATCGAGACAACAAGTATCAGGGTGTGCTATTAAGTGTATGTGCATAGAGTTGAGCTTTGGCAACCATGGGGTAAGTTCTGATTTGCCAACTTTGAAAGCGGGTCGGTCAACGGCTCTGATAAGGCGCAACCTGAGCGTAGTAATTTTCCAATATTAACGATCGTTCTTGGGCTATACATGAATGTGACACGAACGCTAGGAGGGGGTTCTATTGATTATAATGTGACTACAATCTAATAGATAGTTGGTGGAACTGATGAGCTTTGGGAGGTAACCCGATGCAATTATTTGTCCCTGTATAAATTTATTAAACTAATGGTAAACATTTTGTATAATCCTCTTGAAATTCAAACAGATTGTAGGAGCTGGGACTTAACCCACTATTGGTAGATATAATAGTTTCGAATTTAACTACTTAGCTTATGAGGATTTGTGGCCAACCTGGTAGTGATTACCTTATGAACTAATCTGACCAAGAACTATGTTTTCTTTCCTACATATGCATAACATTACCAAACCTTTAGCATTAACTTATTTAGCCTAGTCTGTTTCCGGACACCTAAAGTCAAGTCTGATGGGAACTAGGGAAAAAATTCCGCTATCACCAAATACCACTGCACTTGACACCAACACTTACCGCCTGGAAGACTCCAATGGCAAGGTGCTAGACTTGTCGAGACGAAGGTTCCCGGTTTCCACCGCAGCCGCCCCCCTTTTCATCCGCTCGCCGGAATCAGTTGCAGAAAAGTGCCATTGACTGATAACGTGATGCGGGTGTGTGAGAGAGGCCCCGAGAGCGAAGAGCGGAGATCGGCGGCATGCACTTGTCGTGAGCTTTGCGGTACAGCTGTTTGGTGTTTTTTTTTTTGAGGTGGTGGGCAAACGTGCTCGCAACGAAATGGAAACGAAACCCCACTCACAGACACACGGGCACTAGTGGAGAGTGCACCCACACTCCCAGACACACACACCTCTTATCTGGCGCTCTCTCGCTGTTTTGCTGCTTTGCTTTGCACTTTCGACGACTGCCAAACATTTGGCGTCTTAATTAACAATTTCGTCGTGTTTACGCTGTGTGCACAGCACAAAAAACACTGCTGAGCTGGCTGATGAATATTATTACTCCCCCTCCTCCCCCGCAGAGTGGTGATGATTCTCCTCCTAGTGGATGCTGCGAGTGGATGCAGCGGCTGTATCCGTATCTGTATCTATGCTGCGACTGCGACCGACTTGTTTTGTATCCGTGCCTCGCTTCTTCTCGTTTTCTTTCTCTCCACTTCTCCACACTTGGGGCTCTGTTCTTTTTGTTGCTCTGTGTGCCTTTGTTCGCCTGCTTCTTTGTTTTGTCGCCGTTCTCTTTTGTCAGCTCGATCGTTGTTATTGTTTTTTGTTGTTGTTGTTGTTTTTTCTTCTCTTGCTTCGATTAACTGGAGCTGCAGCTGGAGTTGGAGCTGGTTTTCCAGTGTTGTTTTCTCCCCCCCCCTTCCAGTCGAGGCTTAGTTTTCCCAGCTGAACAGCGACAATTAAATCCGGAGTATTTACGGGTAATTTGCGAGGAATTCGGTCGGTTATCGCTGTTCTATATAGCCACCGCTTGATCCACTTGCCCGCGGATTTTGATTAAGGTTTGATTGCACCTCGAAGCACTCGGTCCCGACCCACGCACTATCTACTGCTCCGATTAGATCTTCGCGGGGATTTGGGGCTTCCACTGGAGCACTGGTTCTCCGCTAGACTGGAATGGTGCGTACTGCCCACCAAACAAGTTATTACTACGACGCTCGGAATCAGTTCGCCCTGGCAGTCAGCAGCAGCAGCTGGGGCAGCAGCGCGACGCAGTCGCTCCTCTTTCCTCATTCCTCGCAGTCGCCGTCGACGTTGCCCCAGCGTCGCAGTCGGCGTCTCTGCCACTGGCACGGGCAGCAAGTGATAAGAGCGGGCGGTCAGCTACGATTGCTGATTACCGCTGCTGGACGAGCGACTGGCGGCGACAGCGCTGCCGGGAATCGGGATCTCTTGTTTACTACGTAGCAGCTTTGGCTTTTGTGCGTGCGCCGCGAGACAAAGTGCAAATTTAATCGTAGCGAACACACAAAGAACCCACTGATGGCGACCACTCTCGGCGGAGACGAGAGATGGCAGAACCAGATGGATGCAGCCTCCCAGCTGTTTCGTTCCGCTCCAGCCTCGTCATTATAGCCGGGCTAGGAGATGGAGCGGAAGAGAGAGCCTCAAACTGGATCGCGAACTGGCTTATTGTTTCCCCAGAGAACCACACTGTGAGAATAATAAGGAGAGAGTTTTTGACACTTATTAATAATCTTAAATAATATATTTTGTTTTTGTTTTGAAGATCTATTAAGTAAATGTAGAAAAGGAAGAGCCCATGATCGTTGAGGGTTTCTATTTTATTGTATCATTAATAATAAATCTATTCTGATTACCATCAGTATAATCTTGTCTAAGCCATGTTCCTTAATCGATTTTGTTGGATCTGATAGGGTATATAAACCTCAGCTTGCCAGAGGCAGCTAACAGCTTCTCATTTTTTTTAATTTTTAACAAGTCCACAGTCCAACCGAAGAAGCGCTCGAGCAGTTAGTAAACGTTTTAATAGCAGTATTACCTAGTGCCACGATCTCCTCTATAGTACTTTTATCGCCTACTCCACAGCTCTGGGTCTATTCATAGGTGTGTGCGCACGCTTTGCTCAAGGGAATTGAAAAAACAGTTTAATTAGCACTTGAGCACTTAAGACGTTCTGGAACCCTTGACTTGGAGAATTGCATATTGTTTGCTCGAGCGGTTAACAAAGGCGGCGGGAAGTGCAGACGGAGCTCATCGGGATAGGTGCTCCCATCTCTCCCACTCTCAGTGCTCATTTCTCTGTTTCAATTTCGCAACTCTTGGATATATTTAGATTGGCTTATCATCGGGCTCTCGGACTGTCGGGACCGACTCCCGGCACGATCGCTGTGCGCGGCTAGAAGAACCCCCACCGAAGCCGAGTTATTGAACCCCACGGCCAGGCCACGATTGTGTGCCCAGGCATTTATCAGCTTAGTCAAGAGTTTACAACTCATCTGCCGTTCCCCGGCCGCACCGGAATCCGAATCCCTGCTCGGAGCCAGTGCCTCGGTGTGTTTTGTTCGACTGAGCGACTGATAGCCCCGCTGAACCTTTTGTTTTGCTCGCGGGCCGATGACGCGGTTGGGTTTTCAATAACTCAATAGCTCAATCCTAATCTGTTCGTGCTAGTTAATGGCCCTGTCCAAACCGCCGCGCTGACTGCAATATATTTACCTGTTCAGCCACCCTCCCATCCTCTCCAGACCCTAGCTTAGGTGGGCTTTTAAGTTCAGGTGACAGCCTAAGTGGCTCTAAGTCATCAGTCGCTAAGCTAGCGCAGTGTGTCCGAGGCCCAGTCCGGAATCTCTATCTATATAGTGACCACTTCCTCAACGGCCGCTTAGAGGAGAATCTTATCAGTCGTAGGAGAACGGGCCGGCTTATCAACCTGGTTGCCGGGTCGTCAAGTGCCAAGTAATTTCCATCACACTCACCTACACGAAAAAATTCCGAAATTATTAGCAAAAGAGACGAATTTTGAAGCCGAGAAGGAAGGAAGCCCTTCCGGAACGCATCTCCTTGATGGAAATATGGGACATTGTGTTTAGTGAGTAGAGCTTGACCCTAAGTTCGGACGGGAGTAGGGGTGAAGGTCATCTGTCGCAATTGATGACACGCCACGCCACGACAGTTGAGTTAACATATATGATGCGTAGTGGGCTTGCTATTATTTATCATTATTGCATCACTTACGGCCACAAATGCGCCATTTTGTACGACAGTTTACATAAACAGAAAGGTCGCATGCAACCCGGTTAGCCTTATTGGCATGCAAAGTCGCCGTGGAGTCGAGCTTCGGATACGGGTCGAGTCGGCTACGGTGCGGCGGTGTGTGGGGTGGGGTGTGGTGGGTAGTTGTGGTTGGACTTGACGAGGAATGTCGAAAATTACTGGGCGATAATGTCTTGGTTCGCCTTCTACATAGCTAGAGCATTTGCTATTGCCAGTCCAGAATGTGAATTACTTTACAGTGCAGCCGTGATAGGGCAGATGAGCCTCGCTATAGTGCACAAAATAGTGTCTTGAAATTATTGAGCTCATGAATATTAATATAATCAGGGAAGTAAGCTTAATGCCGAAAATTACTTTTTCTGTGTCAAATATTTTCATCTTCTTGAAGGATCTTATGATTTTATTTAGTTAAGCAATCATTTCCGACCCCACAAATCATATATATTCTTGATCAGCATTGACAGGCGCTTCTTTCTAGCCATCTCGGAAAGAAATCAAAAATTTTCAATTTTTTTAAAAATTTGATAAGGGGTTACATCATTAAAATTCTCAAAAATGACCAAAAATTTTGATTTCTAAAAATTTAAGATTCTGTATGCAGATTTGTTAACCTGGAAAAAACTAGCATAGAAACGCTTTCCGAATGGAATTTGCTTCATTTTTGACTTAGTTATGATATTTTTAGGGCCTTGATTTGTCCAAAAAAACTATCATAAAAATAATGATAAAGAATTCCAATATTTCCGTCTTCTTCAAGAGTCTTATGATTTTATTTAGTGAAGCAGTCATTTCCGACCCCACAAATCATATATATTCTTGATCAGCATTGTCAGGCGCATCTTTCTAGCCATCTCGGAAAGAAATCAAAAATTTTCATTTTTTTTACAAATTTCAGAAGGGGTTACATCATTAAAATTGTCGAAAATGACCAAAAATTTTGATTTCAAAAAATTTTAAATTCTGTATGCAGATTTGTTAACCTGGAAAAAACTAACATAGAAACGCTTTCCGAATGGAATTTGCTTCATTTTTGACTTAGTTATGATATTTTTAGGACCTTGAATTGTCCAAAAAAATTATCATATAAAAATAATGATAAAGAATTCTAATATTTCCGTCTTCTTGAAGGGTCTTATGAGTGAAGCAGTCATTTCCGAGCCTATACATCATATATATTCTTGATTTGCATTAATTAATGATTTTTTGACTGAGTTAGGATTGATTTTAGACTCGATGTCATGATCCTATGGTAAACTGCAAGGGTAGGGAATTTCTAAACATTCTTTATTACGTTTTGGCTCATTATCTTATACTACCAATTAGTCTTTTAAATTTTATTATTTAAAAACTATTACCTTCAACTACTCTAGTAAAGACATTATATTTGTTGAAATCAAAGGGGATTATTGGAACTTTCCTTGTGTTTTCCAGTTCTTTGGGAACTATTTAGATATACAGAAGTTTGCCCCTGATTCATGGCTGGGAAATTGTTATCATTAGCCAGAACTTTCTCGAGTAAAATTTCCAATTCATATTTCTCCGTAATGTCGATTGGTTTATGCAAATGCAGCAAGCTGCCATTTTTGTATTTCCACAGCTGGATTCGCTCATTTCCCAGTAGAACCAGCCCCAAGAGGGGGGAACTTGCACAATAACCATCAACCATTCGCCGCTGGATCGTTGAATCGTCGCTGGAACTCCCAACTTTATTTACATTCTTTGACTGCAACCTGTCGTCGCTGGGGTTTGGCAACAATTGCATGAGTCACATGCAACTCCATGGCGGCCACTAGCAGCAGCTATCATAATCGGCCCGGGTGCAGCGCAATCAATGAGATATTTTGGCTTCGGTTCGGGTTCAAAACGGAACGCGCCATGCAACGCAATGAAACGAAAGACTTCAATGCAAGCAACAAACTTGTTTATCAGCCTGCCAACGGGGCTCCGGCTCACCTCTGTCCACCTCTGGCCACCGCTGTCCACCTCGGCTCACCCGATCTCGATCGGACCGAGCTTTTATCGCATGCGTTGCAGTGGAAAGCTCTCCTCGTTCGTTTACTCTCGCTTTTGCAGCGCCACAGACACAATCGCACACTAGAGCTACCGGCCAATCGTCGCCGCTCGCCTCTACCTGTTTATCAGGTTTTCCAGTTTTCGCTTTGTCGCAACGCCGAGCAGCAAGCCAAGCTTCTGGCTGGGAGCTTTCGCCGCCTGAACATCTTACGTTGGGGCTTCACTCGAAGACGGCGACTTCAGTTACTCGGCGGCACTGCGAGCGTTCGAGTCGTTGACGTTTTTTGCCGGCGGTCACCCCCAATTGAGACGTTCCACCTGTCGTGAGTTCCTCGTACCGCCGCTCCAAGTTCCCAGTTCCCTAGTTGCCAGTTCCAGTCCGGGCGCAAGAATCTAAGCGGCAAGACCGTGCCAAGTCCCCCCCAGTGTGAGTGAGCTGTCCGCGTTGTCCCGGTGTGTGAGTGCCCCGGCGTGTGTGTGTGTGTACTCGTACTCGTATTAGTGGCCATTTGGAAATGCCTGTGGTTTGTGGCTACTCCAGCTCCAGCTACCGTCCGGCTCGTCCAGCCTGTCCAGCCAGCGACTGGTCGCATTCCAGGGAGCTGCAAGAGAGTCCGATTGCTGCAGTTCGATCAATGGACCACCGACCCTTGGCTCCAAGTGTACCCATTCGGATTCGGATTCGAATCCGAAGCCGAATCCAACTCCATCTCCGTCTGCGTCTCCGCTCTGATCATGGCTCTTGGTTGAGCAAGACCTTGCCCAGTCAGCCAAAATGAAACCACTTCGCCAGCGACTTTGCCTCGCTACAAAAGCGGAAAATCATTGAATTATGCTTTAGGGGCTCTGGGGGGGGCTTTGATTTTGTTTTGTTTGTGTTGGAGTCTTGGGTCTGGAGGCTTGAGGCTTGAGGCAGCCGCTAAACGCTGTCTGCGGCCCTGCCAAAAGCGCATTTGATGTACGTGCATAGTTTTATGATTACTTGTGTGGAAAAAGTGAAATTTTGCTCTGCACTCGAGCCGAGCGGAGTCGAGCTGGGCTGAGCAGAGCTGCCACGAAGCAGCCAGCCAGCCAGCGGCACACAGCGAAATCAAATAAAAAGTCTACCGAAAACACACAAGATACAAGATCCGAAGCTAAGCGTGCGCTGGCAAGAAACCTCAGATAAATAAATAAATAAATACATAAATAAATAGAGGGGCCTGCTGCTGCAAGCTTTATTTTTCTCTTTTTTGACCACATAACTATGACGATTATGCGAAGGTTGCACCAGAGCTGGGGCCGAGAGGGCTGCCCAGCAACCCAGCAAACCTCCGAAGCTTTGAATCATCTTCATCATGGCATTAGTAGCAGCAGCAGCAGCAGCAGCGGTAGGTCTAGGGCTCGGGGCCGTTCCCCGTTGATCGTAAATTGAGGTGACAATTGCCTGGTTTTGTTTCTGTTGACACATTTCACTGCGAAAGCAGCCCCAGCCCCACACTCCTCGACGGTCGCTGGTGTAACTGCGGCGAAACTGACCTACTGACAGCCCAAGATGAGCCACTCGCGAGTCCGCCGCACATGTCAGTCACGCCATTGACGGCGACATCTACCTTGTTTAAGGCACAAATTTAAAAGCCATTTCGTTTTGTATTATCAAATGCAGGTGAATTTCGGTCGAAGACTGAGCAGCGACTCCTGCAATACCCTTTCGCACAGAAAAACCCTGTAAGATTCGTTACTTCTATCACAAAGCAGTAAATTTCTACTTAATGTCCAGCTTAACAAGGTTTCTCTATTAGCCAAAGGCACTTAACCGATCGTAATGTATTGCCTTGGCAGTATTTATTGCATTTCGAAGTCGATTAACTTTGGAACAGACTTAAAGTCGAGCACCTTTGAGTTTCACTCCGCTCGCAGGGCTTTCTCGAGTCGTTTCGAGTGGAAAATCTTAACCCAACGAATACCCTCTGTAGCGTAGTGCAGGGTATGCCCGGGTCGACGCCAGTGGCAACCGCCCCGAAATTGGGTCAGGGTAATTGCTCACACTAAATAGCTGCTACCGCTTGTATTTATTTGTGCAACACTTAAACGCAGTGAAATTATGAGACATGGCTCCTCGGCTCGACTGGATCTCTACGCCTCCCAGAGCCGCGGCGGATGTACTGGCCGTGATTCCGCTTTCGGTTCAATCCGCGCACAAAACGTGTGTTTTTAGAAAGTAAATTTCTATTGAAGCTTGCTGATTCTGGCCAGGCAGCTGGAGCTGCTAATTGAAAAGCCACAACAAGTGAAACCAAAATAAAATAAGACCATTACATCAGCTGTGCCGCATTTCATTGGAATGCCAAGAGCCGCTGCTGGTAATGCTGAGACCGAGGCGGCTAGGGTTTCCCCATTCCTTTCAAGCTGATAAGAGGAAACCAAAACAATCAACAAAGCTGTGGTTCTAACTTCGAATCTGAGCCTGAGTCTGAGTCAGAGCCACTCGGCTCTGCAAAAGCAAGGCTCAGCGGGCCAATGGGCCGTGAATACAGACCCCCAATTAGCAGGCAAACCAAAACAACTGATATTTAAACAGAAAAATATGGTTAACTGAATGCAAATCCTAATCAAAATCCCAATCCCGAGCTGAAGTCATTGATTAATGGCCCAAATGCTGGGCCCGATCGAGTGTCACCGAAAATTCATTTGAGGTGAAATAATTATGGGCTAATTAGTATTCGATGGGCATCGTCGTCGACAACTGCCCAATGGTGGTGGATCGCAGCCTAATGCCTGAGTACGAATATTTAAGCCCGGCCCAGTGTGCGTTCGAGCGACGGCGACAGAGCCTCCGAGAGGCGGAGACGGAGACGGAGGAGTGCGACCTTGTGGCGTTCGGAAAGCGCAGTAAACTTGGCAAATAATAAACTCGTAGCTGTGGTCGAGTGTGTGTGCGCTGATAGGGTAGAGCGAACTCAAAGTACAAAGTTTAATGCTTTTTAGCCGAATCTCTCGTTGGAGAAATCATAAAAGCGCTTCTATTGCTTCCGCCAGACTCCAAGAACAGCACAGACCAGTCCGAGGTGCGAACGTGCTCCATCTGGAGTTGGCTGCGATAAGGCGTTGTAAGTCCGTTTGTATGCAGCTAGGCGGGACAGTATCGGTTCGGATCGGACGTCAGGGGATCAATTAAAATGTTTCTATTGTCTCCAGCCGTGCGGGGCCTGCAAATGGCCAGCCATTAGCCGAATCCGTCTCCGAATCCGAATCCGAATCTGCTTAGCTTTGTTTTATGAATATGAATAATGGCCTGCCTGGAATCGTCAATAGTAAACGTTTCGGTTTACGCACGAATCCGCACCTGAGAGATACATGTTTCTGGCGTAGCCCTGGCCCCGGTCAAGGTCCCAGCGGTAGCAGCAGAGCCGAGCGAAGCTGAGCAGAGCCTGCCGACCCATTAAAGAGCGTTTAATTGCCCAAGCAGAGCTCCAAGGTAAACCCTGCCAGGAAGGGAGCAACAGGTACAGCTGGCAATTAGCAGCAGTACCAGGTTGTGCTGACTTGAAGGTTCTGCCGGAGTCAGTCCCCCCAAATCGGTTTCTCTCGCTGCTGTGCTCTGCGATAAATCAGCTTTTGGGCGAAACCGCACATCGACAGAGCGACAAAGCGACAGCGACATCGACATCGACGAGCGAAGCGATGTCAAAACAGCACAAGGCCAACACGCCCCAAAAACGTGTCTGAGGTCGAGGCATCGGCAGCGGCATTTCTGTCACTCTTCCGCTGTCATCTCCCCGAGATCTACCTGTGGGAGAATTGGGGGACCATGATCGGGGCCCCCAAGATCATGAACATCGAGCGATGGCCGCGACCCGCCAGCGATATGAGCGATTGCATTCCAGTTTATCTGGCTTCGTTCTTAATTGTAGATTAACAATGCAAAACAACCACTTAACCAGTATCTCTAGGTCTCTTTACGAATGCTTTTGTTTTGCTCTTCCAGAACTAGCACAACCAGCCACAGCACCCCAAACCCAGCCACACCATGAACGGGCCCAAGCACAAGCTGTGCACCAAACTGTCCAGCACATACCTGAGGAAGTGGTGTAAGTATGATGATGCCGATCCGGGAGACATTAACATCTGATTGTATAACTACATTTTTGCCGTGCAAGAAATTTCCATTTGGATATTTCCGACTTAATTTCTGTAATAAATTATTACTAATAATCCCGTCCAGCAAATTATGCACAACGCAATGGGAGGTGGAATCACAAGTACGCTCGGCGGCCCAGTCAATGCGATTCGCCTGGCTTTGGATTATAACTCCACGTGCCCGATTCTTGTTTTTGTTATTGTTTGCGCTCTCAGGCTATATATACACTTGTATATCGTAGTTTCTGCCCTGGCGACTGGTTAGACTGGTCTTCGGATGGGGATTACTTTACGTTAAAGCCGCTCAAAGTGCGCCGGATAGGATAAACTGGCCATTTTATGGAGCTTCCTACTATTCCGACCTTTCCCCATAGCCCACTCCCTGAGTTGGAGCTATTGCGTAGTAGAACTGTTTCAGAGGTCGTCTTCTTCGGCCAGGGTTCTCGGAATCCGGTTATAACCCATTCTATTTTAAGTAGACTTTCCAGTTCTCTGATCGAATTGTAATTATTCAATCACAAATAATTGCTGGATATTTATAAGACAAGTCACTGGCTCTGGAAGGTTTTATAACCCGGAATAAAGGTCAGAGGGGCAGTGATTCACCCTAGGTGGACTCATCCTGGGCCGTATAAATATTTATAGCGTTCTTCCTAAATATTTGCCTCGATCAAGTCCACGTTTCCACGTCCCCGCCCAATGACAACACCAGATCGATCCCCCTCCCGGCTGACTCATCCCAGAGGCCGCGTTAATTTATGCATTCGGTGAACACAATTGTTCAACAATCGCTTTGGTTTTCCAGGGATTACGATCGTCATTGCCGCGGCACTGATAATCGGCGGCATTGTGGTGGCCTGTGAATTCTCCGTGCTGATCAATGCCGTTGTGGACCGCATGGTGGCCCTGCGCCCCGGCGCCAAGACCTTCGGCTGGTGGGCCAAACCCCCAGTGGAGCCCAGGATCAGCCTGTACATCTACAATGTGACCAATGCCGACGATTTCCTCAGCAACGGCTCCAAGGCCATTGTCGACGAGGTGGGACCCTATGTCTACAGGTAAGTGGTATCTTTAGCTGATGCCGGCCTCGATCTGAAACCCCATCCCGATCTGCAGCGAGACCTGGGAAAAGGTAAACATCGTGGAGAATGACAATGGCACGCTGAGCTACAACCTGCGCAAGATCTACTCGTTCCGCGAAGACCTCTCCGTGGGCCCCGAAGACGATGTCGTGATTGTGCCCAACATTCCCATGCTGAGCGCCACCTCCCAGAGCAAGCACGCGGCCAGGTAAGTGCTCCTCCACCGTGACCCTGACCGCCACTAACTTTGAGCTTGCAATGCGCAGGTTCCTGCGACTGGCCATGGCCAGCATCATGGACATCCTGAAGATCAAGCCGTTCGTCCAGGTTTCCGTCGGACAGCTGCTGTGGGGCTACGAGGATCCGCTCCTCAAACTGGCCAAGGACGTGGTACCCAAGGAGCAGAAGTTACCCTACGAAGAGTTTGGCCTGCTGTACGGCAAGAATGGCACCTCCTCCGACCGCATCACCGTGAACACGGGCGTTGATGACATCACAAAATACGGCATCATCGACAACTACAACGGCCGCACCCACCTGCCCCACTGGACCACCGATGCGTGCAACAGTCTGGCGGGCACCGACGGCTCCATCTTCCCGCCGCACATCGAAAAGGACCGCATCCTGCACGTGTACGACAAGGACCTGTGCCGCCTACTGCCCCTGGTCTTCGAAAAGGAGGTGGAGACCTCGAACGAGGTGCCCGGCTACCGCTTCACCCCGCCCGAGTGGGTCTTCGCCGACGTGGACAGCCATCCGGACAACATGTGCTTCTGCCCCGCCGGCAAACCCTCGTGCTCACCCAACGGCCTCTTCAACGTTTCCCTGTGCCAATATGGTGAGCGGGATTCCCCTGTTACTCCTAATTCAGAAGAAGGGTTTATCTAATTTCACTCTCCTTTAGATTCCCCCATTATGCTGAGCTTCCCGCATTTCTACCTGGCCGATGAGAGCCTGAGGACGCAAGTGGACGGCATCTCCCCGCCCCAGAAGGAATTGCACCAGTTCTTCTTCGACGTCCAGCCGGTAAGACTTCAGGCTCCAAGCGGACGCCCCTTCTCTTGACCTCTCTTCCTTTCTCTCCCCCTACAGAAATTGGGAACTACGCTGCGCGTGCGTGGCCGCGTCCAGATCAATCTGGCGGTAAGCCAGGTGTTCGACATCAAGCAGGTGGCCAACTTCCCAGACATCATCTTCCCCATCCTGTGGTTCGAGGAGGGCATCGACAACCTGCCCGACGAGGTAACCGACCTGATGCGTTTCGCCGAACAGGTGCCGCCCAAGATCCGCCTGGGTCTCATTCTGGGCCTATGCGCCCTGGGCGTCATCCTGCTGCTGCTCGCCACCTTCTGCCTCATCCGCAACTCGCACCGGCAGAGCACCCTGCACCTGGAGGGCTCCAACTACCTGGCCACCGCCCAGGTGGACATGAACAAGAAGCAAAACAAGGAGAACCAACCCGCCGCCAGATACTAGGCGCTCTAGTCGGAGTCTGGTCGCAGTTCGAGGGGTCTCTGGGTGTCTTATAGTGTAGTGTAAGCCTTTAGCTAGGAACTGGGACTAGCCCAAGCCCATCCGCATTCCCAATTCCGTTTCCCTGTCCCCTATTCCCGTTCCCCCCCCTCCCATTCGAATCCGTAGTCTAGAAGAAATGGAGCTGGGAAGACTTGTATGTATTTGTATGTGTATCTGTATCTGTATCTGTATCTATTGTATTGTATGTAGGTTATCGTTTTAAGTAATCGTTATGAAAATTTGGATGTGTAGTCTTACAAAACCGTCGTGATCGCTTTAAGGCTCAAAGCTTCGACTCAAACTTTGATTTGTTATACCAAAACAGAAGCCTTCCCTGTCCTAGCAGATTAAACCCCTCGTTTAAATTGGATATCCGGACGGGCGAGAGAGCCGTCACAAGTCAAGTCACAAAACACTGGAAACGTTTCTCAAATAAAACAAAAGGTTCCGTCCTCTCGAATACAAATGTGCCTCATTAGGCCGAAAATGCCGGACAAGCTCCGCATCGGAAATTTCTATTCAATAAATACATAATTCTATCGATTGAGTGTACAATTTATATTCATTAATGTGTGTACAATAAACTACGATATTATTTTAATGAGACAATTGGCCAAAATCTATTTCTGACTCCATACAAGCTAGAGCTAAAGCCTCCCATTTAGGGAGAGATTATTAATTTGTTTGGGGTCCCTACAATGGCTTGCCAAAGGAAACATACAATGCTAATGGTAGCAGCAGAATTTTTATTGTTTAGCTATTAAAAAACACAATTATATATATCTAAGTCTTTATACGATTTAGAAAGATTCAGAATTCCATTGATAATTCCATATAATTTTAAACTGCACATAATTCAATGGGTGTTCAATATTTCTACATATGTAAATATCCTTGCAGGGTATTTTAAATTCAGTCAGAAGCTTACAAAGCAGAGAAGGAGTCATTTCCGACCCTACAAATCATATATATTCTTGATCAGCATAAACAGGCGCGCCTTTCTAGCCATCTCGGAAGGAAATCAAAAATTTTCAATTTTTTTACAAATTTGATAAGGGGTTACATCATTAAAATTCTCAAAAATGACCAAAAATTTTGATTTCTTAAAATTTAAGATTCTGTATGCAGATTTGTTAACCTGGAAAAAACTAGCATAGAAACCCTTTCCGAATGGAATTTGCTGCATTTTTGACTTAGTTATGATATTTTTAGGGCCTTGATTTGTCCAAAAAAATTATCATATAGAAATAATGATAATGAATTCAAATATTTCCATCTTTTTGAAGGGTATTATGATTTTATTTAGTGAAGCAGTCATTTCCGACCCTATAAATCATATATATTCTTGATCAGCATTGACAGGCGCATCTTTCTAGCCATCTCAGAAAGAAATCAAAAATTTTCAATTTTTTTACAAATTTGATAAGGGGTTACATCATTAAAATTCTCAAAAATGACTAAAAATTTTGATTTCTAAAAATTTAAGATTCTGTATACAGATTTGTTAACCTGAAAAAAACTAGCATAGAAACGCTTTCCGAATGGAATTAGCTGCATTTTTGACTTAGTTATGATATTTTTAGGGCCTTGATTTGTCCAAAAAAAATTATCATATAGAAATAATGATAATGAATTCAAATATTTCCATCTTTTTGAAGGGTCTTATGATTTTATTTAGTGAAGCACTCATTTCCGACCCCACAAATCATATATATTCTTGATCAGCATTAACAGGCGCGTCTTTCTAGCCATCTAGGAAGGAAATCAAAAATTTTCAATTTTTTTAAAAATTTGATAAGGGGTTACATCATTAAAATTCTCAAAAATGACCAAAAATTTTGATTTCTTAAAATTTAAGAGTCTGTATGCAGATTTGTTAACCTGAAAAAAACTAGCATAGAAACGCTTTCCGAATGGAATTAGCTGCATTTTTGACTTAGTTATGATATTTTTAGGGCCTTGATTTGTCCAAAAAAAATTATCATATAAAAATAATGATAACGAATTCTAATATTTCCGTCTTCTTGAAGAGTCTTATGATTTTATTTAGTGAAGCAGTCATTTCCGACCCTATAAATCATATATATTCTTGATCAGCATTAACAGGCGCGTTTTTCTAGCCATCTAGGAAGGAAATCAAAAATTTTCAATTTTTTTTACAAATTTGATAAGGGGTTACATCATTAAAATTCTCAAAAATGATCAAAAATTTTGATTTCCTAAAATTAAAAATTTGGTATGCAGATTTGTAAACCTGAAGAAAACTAGCATAGAAACGCTTTCCGAACTGAAATTATCCATTTTTGGCTGAGTTAGGATTGATTTTTGATTCGATGCAATGATCCAATGGCAAACTTCAAGGGTATACAAATTTGGCTTCCCGTATTTAGTCTAGTTTATAAATCTAATTTATAATCTAATTAAATTTTGCAATTGGTTTCCATGCTAAACTAAGTTGTGGCTTTAGTACGGATCCCAAAAGTATGCTATGTAGGGAACATCTACACATTCATAACTTTTATCGGCTCCGAGCTACGGATTTCCCAGGCCTCCACAGGTGTCATAAGCCATAAAAAGTACGAGAGTGATTAGGGTAATAATAAATAAAAAAGTAATAAAATTCTAGTTAATACCAACAATGCCGGTGGGCGTTATCAGTAGCCCTAATATTCATTGTGAAAATTTAAATGTTTATAGTTATTCTATTGCCCAATTTCGAACTAAGGCCAGACCGGATTTCAGCAGCATAGCCATTAAGCTGTCTATTGATACGCCGGGACTCCAGGCTGCATATCAGTGCGCTGGACGCCCTGCTGAAGCCAGAGCCAGACTTTTTATGGCGAGTCATTTGTTTCATTGCACGGTCAACTGACCGCGTCAGTGATAAGCCCCGCTGGACCGGACCGTCTGTGCCTGATAAGGCACAACCTCTGGGACCACAAGACCAGGGACCAGGCCATCCACACCTGCTCTCGTCCAAGGCTGGCCTGGCCCCACCCGAGGGGGTCTGCTGATCGAATACTCTGTAGTGAGTTCCCGAGGGAGCGATGCCTGGAATCCTCTGAAGTAATCCTAAGCCCGCCGAGGCCATTCTGGAAAAATGGTAGCATATATTTGGACCAAGATTAGCGTTAATTCTATGCTCGGGTCAGAGGTGCGTCATTATCTCCGCTATTCACGCAGACGGCCCGAGGGGGAACCAGAATTTGCTCTCGGTCCAGCTAACTGATAGCCTTTCCGCTATTTGATTTTATACACTTTGTTTTCATTCCGTTCCGATCCCGAGACCAGGCCGAGCAGGAGGAGGAGGAGCTGGGGGAAGGCTGGATGCTGGTGGTGATAAGTGACTGTAAAACAATTGCCGAAAGCATTTGGAATTCGACTTAAACGGATCGCGTGTTTTCCCCCGATCGGACGCGTTTCAGTCTTGGCTGCGTCCAGTTCCCAGCTTCCGTCCCAGTTCATCCGTCCCAAGCCTAAGCCATGACGCTTCTCCAGTACGTAAAGATTGTGCTCTGCTTGCTCCTAGGAGCCGGCAGCATCTACCTGTTTGTGGCGTCACTGAGCGTGGACTACCGCGTGCTGGTGGCCAGGGAGCATGTCCGCTTCCGCCAGGAAATGCCCACTATGGACAGCTGGATCAACTCCCCGTTCGGCAAGCTCAAGAATTACGTCTTCAACGTTACCAACGCCGAGGCATTCCTCGCCGGCAACGACACTCGGCTGAAAGTGCAGGAGATCGGTCCCATTACCTACAATATAGTGGGCTACAATGACATCCTGGAGCGCAACGCGACACACGTGAAGTACAGCAAGCACCGCTATCGCATCGTGGAGTTTCTGCCGGAGGAGAGCGTGGCTCCCGATGTGCTCAACTGGACCATTACGTCCACCAACAACGTTCTCCTGGGGGCCGCAGCGAAACTAAAGCACCAGGCACCGTTTTCGGCTCTCGGTTTTGACGCCATTTTTGCAAGCGAGGACGAGTTCGTGACCAACTCCATTTACTACTTTCTCTGGGAGTTCACCCGACCTTTGCTCCAAGGACTCTCAAGGTTTTCCAACTTGGCCTCCAATGTCGCGGTCCTGCACAACGTAAGTGTTCCGGGCAAGCCCTTCCCCAGCAGTGTTTTCTCATCGCTAAGCTATTCCCGCAGGCTCTCAAGGACAAGAGGGAGGAATACACGGTAAATATCGGCCCTGAGCGCGGTATTGAGAACTTTTTTCGCATCGAGGCCCTGAACGACGAAGTCGTCATCCAGGAGCAGTCCTCGAACAGTTACCGTTACGAAAGTGAGGAGTGTCCGTACAACGTGACTGGCGCCCTCGACAACTCCCTCTACCCGCCCTTCGTCCAGCCGAACACGCCGCTCGACGTCGTCGCCATCGAGTCCTGCCGAGTGCTCCCGCTCAACTACCACGGCCAGGAGGTCTACAACGGTGTCAACACCTACCGCTACACGCTGCTTGAGGCCCTCCAGAAGCCACCGAAGTGCCTGGACACCACCTACGCGTACAAGCTGTACGACGGCATGTTTGACGTCTCCAAGTGTGTGATAAGTACGTGTCCTGCGGATATTCCAGACGCAAGGATATAACCTGACCCTCTTATCCTCACAGACGATGCCCCATCTGCGTTCTCAATGCCGCACTTCTACGGCACCAGCTACAACTGGAGCGAGCATTACGAGGGATACACGCCCAACGCCGAGGACCACCAACCCTTCATCCTCCTGGAGCCGATCACGGGTATACCGGTCACGGAGAAGTACCGCTTCCAGTCGAACATTCCCATCCCAGACCTGAGCAGCTTCAGCCGGCGCCTGAAGAGGTACAGCAATATGATGGTGCCCAGTTTTTGGTACGAGTTTGTAAGTACCTCCGCTTCCACAGAGATTCCTCCGAGATCCTGACCCTTTCTCTCTCCAGGAAATGGGTGAGCTACCCTTCTTGGTAGTGGCCCTGATGTGGTTCAACGTGAACGTGGTGCAGCACATGCAACCCTACTGCATGGGCTTCTTCCTGCTGCTGGCCGTGTGGAGCCTCCTAAAGGCCATCAGAGTGGCCTGCGGCGACCTGGGTTACGTGGACCTCTATCGCAAGGCGTGCGGCGGCGGAACGCGGAACATCATGCTGGAGACAAGGTTCGTGCCGACCTCAGCCCTTGCGCAACATACCCTCCCCGGCCAGCTCTCCGACCTGGCTGTCAAGTAGTGTCTACTCCCGGACTAGACCCGCGTGTATATATGTTTGTACCAGACTTAGGCTAGGCTAGAGGTGCCACTCTGATGCACTTATCAGTAGTTGGCCGTTACGTAATATAACGATTAAGTTGAAAATTGAATGTGCCTCATTTCACCTTATCTGTCAGCCGTCCCAGCTTCCAGCCAGGTCGGCTGCCCTCCGCCGGCTCGCTTAGCTGCCCCAGCTTCTCCTCCCTTTGTTGACAATTCGGCTTTGGTTTGAGGTCGCGGCTCTCGTTTGATTTGCCTCGCTCTGAGGCTTGACAATGAAAACTTGGGCACGTACTGGCCGAAGATTTATTTGTGTTTTGCGTTTTTTTTTAAATCTGTACATTAATTTTTTATTGTTAGTATTTCTTGAGCCGCAGCCGCCGCCACCGCCGCCGTTGTGTACTTTGCGGTTTGTTTACTTTATTTCGCCTTGCTCGCCTCTCCTTCCTGAACCTGAACCTGCACATGTCGCATGATCTTTTCTCGCAGCCCGAGCTGGAGCTGATGCCCTGGCCGGCTTCAAGGTAAGCAACCCTTCCTCTCCTCCTTCGCTCCTCCCCCGTCAGTGAGTAGGGAGTTTTTTTCCTTTCCAGCAACTCGGAGCAGTCTCGATTTGCATAAATCGATGCGATACCTGGGGGCTAAGGATGCCCCAATTCGCATGTTAATCACCGGGGACGGACGGACCGAAAGCTGTTTGTATAATTGGCACGAGTGTTATGTCACAGCGCAGGTGATTTATTGACCCCTTCCTAGACCTCCGAGACCCCCCAGGTCCAAGATGCGACCGCGCGATGATCCGTAGAATCGCCCGCGTCAAGAGACAGTCGTTAAGGCGCGACTGCTCATAATTATACGAGGGAATAAAGTGTATTTTTGTATTTTTGGTTTTATGGCCACTTATTGTTGGCCCCACCAGAGCCAGCTAGAATTATCAGTGCGAACTGGGGCTGGCTCCATTAGCGCAGAATAGCGATGGCTCTGCTTTGGCTGCCTTGCTGGCTGTCTGGCCGAAAAACCCAGAGTCACGCTGCGCTGTCCACCTGGCCAAAGACCGGGGGGAGTGCGGTGCCGGGCTCGGGTAAATCCCCATGGCTCAGACCCAAGCCGAAGCCCAGACCAGTTGAAATCGATCAGGCTACGACTGCACTGAAACCAAAACAAAACACATCGAGCCAAGCCGAGCCACGCCGAAAGAGCTTTCGAAATCTGGTCTAGACTGGTGCGTGCGATTCCAAGAGCCAGCGAGATAGATAATTAAAAGGGAAATGAAAATGCATAAAAGTGATTACAACACAGCGGCAGCAACCAAGACACAACAAGTCGCCACAAATGCGATCGTTAAAGAGTAGGAAACCGAGCTTCAAGCTTTATCCCGTCCCAGTCCCACTCCCCAACTGGCCAAAATCAACATGTAAATTTCAATTTTCACGTACGTCAATGGCTTTTCCTACGAATTCCGTACGTGAGCGGGTAAACAAACCTGCCGGCTTGCGGGGTGAGCGCAGAGATGGATCTGTGATATCGTAAAACTCCCATTCCGTCCATTTCCATTCCACCCTTTGAACCGCTGGCCCGCCTTTGGACTTGCCGAAATTCGGCAGAAACAAAAAAAATACACAAAACCTTAAGTCAGTCACCGAAATCCGACATCCGAAATCCGGTTCGGCGTCGAGGCTTCGGCCGCCGCCGCTGCCCGCCTGCGAAAGCTTCCCGAAGAGCTGGGGAGCTGGGAATTGCGCTCAGTGTAAGCGCCGCTAAAGCTCCTGGTATATAAGCCAGGCGACCAGGCTAACTGCTCGCAATCCAAGCTGTGCCTCCATCGATAGCGTTAGCCCGAAAAGGTCCGGAAAAGAAGTGAGTAGACAAAGCCGAAAGGAAATCCAAAACAAGCCAGGAATCCCGCTGGGAGCTCTCCGCGCTGATTGCGTAAATTCGGGGCGAGCTGGCAAAGCAACAGAGCTCAACATAGAAGTCGAAAGCGGATAGGGCGACGTGGTCGTGGACTCCGGAATGGGAATTGTGAAATCTTCTTTGTAAAATATTGAATCCAAACGAACGCCAATTAGTATGCATATGCGATATATATGCCAAGGGCCATTAATAATGCATGACGACAAAGCGGGCAGCGCAGCACTCACCTCGGATGATTTTGCTCGTCGAAGCCGAGACGCAGCGACGCCTGCTGCCGCATCCCAGCATTCTTCTCGGCGTCACCATTTCTAACTCTCTCCTCTCTCTCTTTGCAGCTACACGTCAAGATGAAAGCTTCCCTAGCCATCGTATTCTGCGTGATTGCCGGTCTGGCGGCCGCCGCTCCCGAGAAGCAGTACACCAACAAGTTCGACAACGTCAACGTGGACGAGGTGCTGGGCAACGACCGGGTCCTGAACAACTACCTCAAGTGCCTGATGGATAAGGGCCCGTGCACGCCCGAGGGCCGCGAACTGAAGCGCCTGCTGCCCGACGCCCTGCAATCGGACTGCTCCAAGTGCACCCCCATCCAGCGCCGCAACTCCGAGAAGGTGATCAACTTCCTGCGCGCTCGCAGGGCCGGCGAGTGGAATCTTCTGCTCGAGAAGTACGATCCCAAGGGCATCTACAGGTCCAAGCACGAGGCCGCGGCGAAGAAGCAGCACTAAGCACCAAGCACATACCGCTCCAAGCACTCATTCCACCATGAACCTAATTTAAATCCGAGATTCACAGTAAAGTTCATCGTTTTTTATACCTAAATGCGGCAACGAAACTTTTATTCCAACGAAGGCGGTGGCGGGATGACCATCTAATATCTAGGGCTAGGGTGGCGGGAGCATGTGCTATTTGGTCTCATTGATCAGGTCGATGGCCCGGAACTGGTTGGCCACGTTGATGGTCCAGTCCGACTGCTGCCCAGCGGTGAATTCCTTAATGAAGCGGTAGTTGCAGATGAACACCTTGTCCTGGTACTCGGGCAGCGTGCTACAGGAGAGCAGAGGTAAGCCGGGATTTTGCAAGACAAGTTGGGTGTTCAACTCACCCCATGTTCCAGGGAATCTCCTCGCCGCGCTCCCGCATCTCGGACAGGCCGCGCATCACGTGGAAGACCATGGTGATCTCGACGAAGCGCTTCTGCAGCTTGTCGTTGGCCTCGTCGAACATGATGCCCACCTGGTAGGGGAAGCTGAGGTAGATGTCGCTCTCCCTTATCTCCAGCTGCCGCCGCTGGGTCATCGAGAGCTTCTGTATCACGGGTCGCAGCTCCGCAATTGCCTCCGGCGAGACCAGCTTGTCCAGCGAGTCCAGGTCGCCGCCCATCAGTCTTGAGGACACCACCTGCAGGGCCTGCTTGGCGCCGTATATGAAATCCTTAAGCTGGAACTCGCTGTCAAAGTAGGGCCGGATGATAAACTGGATGGTGATCCAGTTCTTGAGCGAGTTCAGGGCCGAGGGCCACACGATTTCGGGAAAGTCCATGAGCCGGGGCAGGCGGTTGGGGCTCTCCCTCGCGTCCGGTTCCTTTTTGTTCTGTTCCTGCGGCACCGAGGCGAGGTTGCGCCTGGGGATCCCCGCCGGTTCCCGGTTGCAGGTGGCGACGACTGTGGCACTGGGGTGGAGGCGGAGCAGGGGCGCCCGGGCCATGCCCAGGCAGCGTCTGAGCGTGTGCTGCATTGCGTAAATTGCACTTTTTGCAGCGCGAAATTAGCTTAAAAATATTATGTTGTTATTGCAGGCAGTGCAGTGTGACCGCCGTTCGATTTTTCAAAAATACGGTCTGCTTGCAAAAGTTTAACTAAATGTTTAAATTGTTTATAACACAAGAGGAAAATTGTGAAAACCCCACGAATTTCCCTTCTTTCTTTACTTTTTAAGTAACAATTTAAATAAATAAAAAAAGTTTTTAAAAACACCGATAGTATCGATAGAAACATCGTTGTTTTTGCAGCTCTTTTAAATGGTAGAAAGTGGGGAAAGGGGAAGGTGTTCCAATTTTGGGAGAAGTTATAATTCATTGCAAGCGTAGAAAACCATAATTATTTTTAATTCCCAGCGCAATAGTTTGAAAACAATCGATATTGCGGGCTAGAGCCGAGCCGTCAGCCCTATCGATAGCTCAATCGATAGTTTGACAGCCCCCTCACTTCCGGCTGTCAAATTTTTCTTTCTTTCCACGACGAGGATTCCGACAGCATGAGGTATATTTGAGTTTAGTAAATATGCGCGAAATGGCGCCTTTGCGGCCTTAAAACGTGTGCGGAGTGTGCGGGCACACACCCGCGACGTTGTGTGCGATGATGGGACTTTGGATAATTCAGTTTCGCCGTGGGAATTGTGAAATAGCCAAACGTGCGCCGCACACCTACACGCACACAGATACGGCCGCTGGCACCCAGCACGCTGCTATAGCGACTTGCGACTAACCCATTCCCTGTGTCTTGTAGTTCTCTTAAACTCCAGAAGAGGCTCGCAGCCTCCGTACTGCGATGCGGCAAGAAGAAGGTCTGGTTGGACCCCAATGAGATCAACGAGATCGCCAACACAAACTCGCGTAAGTAAACCCTCCGCCGCTGTTCGTGTGTGCAGAGCTGTGAACTGACCTCTACTTCCGTGTTTAATTTGCAGGCCAGAACATTCGCAAGCTGATCAAGGATGGTCTGATCATCAAGAAGCCCGTCGTGGTCCACTCCCGCTACAGGGTGCGCAAGAACACCGAGGCGCGCCGGAAGGGACGCCACTGCGGATTCGGCAAGCGCAAGGGTACAGCGAACGCCCGTATGCCCACCAAGCTGCTGTGGATGCAGCGCCAGCGTGTGCTGCGACGTCTGCTGAAGAAGTACCGCGACAGCAAGAAGATCGACCGGCACTTGTACCATGACCTGTACATGAAGTGCAAGGGTAATGTGTTCAAGAACAAGCGTGTCCTGATGGAGTACATCCACAAGAAGAAGGCCGAGAAGCAGCGCAGCAAGCTGTTGGCTGACCAGGCCGAGGCCCGCCGACAGAAGGTGCGCGAAGCCCGCAAGCGCCGCGAGGAGCGTATTGCCACCAAGAAGCAGGAGCTCATTGCTCTGCATGCCAAGGAGGACGAGATCGCTGCCAAGGCTGCTACCGCGGGTCACTAAGTAGTCCAGGCCTCGCTGGTCGGGCGGGGCACACAACAATATTGATAGTACTTGGTTATCAACTGAATAAAACAAAACTTTAGTTTGGCCGAAATGATTTTGTACAAACGTGAAACGATCATTGTTCCGTTTCTTAATGCTGCTCGCTAGAGGGTAAGTTTAGCTTGAAAGACAATTTGTTGATCAACTTTTAGGGGTTTAAGCTTGCTTATATTATTTATAATATGGGTCTGCCGGGCAGTCTCTTGGCTTAAGTAATATCGAAGCTGTAAGTGGACTTAAATAGCCAAGCAAAACGTGTGGACTTGTGGATAACTAATTGAAGCGATGCATAAGACCAGGAGGGGGTCAGTTTTTGGTAACAACAGATCGGGTTAAACCCCAGCTTTCAACTAAAATTGGTTTGCTGAAAGTAGGGCTAAAATGTGAGTTGGGCTCCTTTATCTACCTATGTAAATCTATCTACAAAGCAGATAATGTATCTCTCACTCGTTTATCTAAAGAATTTGAATTTTATTTAATTAAAATCTCGTATCTTTAAAAAATACCATTTTAAATGTTGCTGCCATAACTAAAAATGCTTTGCGGCTCCAGCTGTTCCATAATCTGGAAAAGCTTTCTCAGACGGTCATACTGCCTGCAAGCTCTCAGATATATTCTTTTTGTCCCAACGATCAGTTGCAATTTTTCAACCTATTAAACAGCACAATGCCAATGCGTAAGGTAATTAAAAACCCAAAATTGAGTTCTCAGGACTTGATTCAGACTGTATTAAGTAAGTATATCGCCATCCCGAGACGGGAATCCGAGATATATGGTAAGCACTTCGAAGAGCTGACTTCTACAATATTCAAAGAATTGAGACAATGTCCCCAGCTGAACAGCCTCATTGTGGAACTAAGTTTGGAAGGTATGTGCCTGCTGTCCAGGCTCCAGTGAATACGCCTCAAAACCTTATTCCTTTTCCCTAACCCGCCAGTTCATCCACATGAGTCATTCTGTAATAAAACCATAACCGATAAAATTCTTGTTAATAAAACACTCGTAAATTCGCGTCGTAATCATGTAGCCGCGTCTAATGTCGTTTCTAACAATCTGGCAGATAACGATGAATAACCGAAAGGAAAAGACAAGGTCTTCAAAGTATGTACATATGTATAGTATAGTATATTTTAGACCCTAACTTTAATGTTATTTGATTTGAATATTAAAGGATTCTGTAAGCATTTTGAAAACTTCGTACGTTTTGATATTTTTTACTTTTTAAGCCTTGCTGACTTTATTTTTATTTTAGTTAACAGTTTACAAAGCAGTAAAGAAGACATTTCTGATAAAGTACTATCAGTATCACCAGGAGAGTCTGACTAATCATGTCCGTTTAGAACAACTATAGCTTTTAAAACTGCTTAATATCCTGCTATTAAATTTACTTATAAACTTAATCGTTTAAAACCAAGTAAAACTGAATAATACAACGTAAATACATATATTAAAATAAATATATAAAAACGTATATATACTTTATCTGCCAGATTGGCAGAAGCACTTAACCGTGTCCGTGCCGTGTAATCATATCCGTTCTTATCGCGTAACTCGATATCCTGCCCCGCGCCGTTCCCTATCCGTTCGATATCCGTTGCAACCGCGTCGCGTTTTCCGTTACTTATCGCGTAGTTTACTCGTCTATATTCGCAGGTAGTTCGGGAGATTTATTAAAGATCGCGAAACCCAATGAATTCGATTTAGTTTTCAAACTGGAAATACCGTACTATGAGAGTATCGTCGTGACGCGAGATTCGACTAGGCCGGGAAACGTTTTACTCGATATGACGCGCGTGCTAGAACTACTTAAGGACGATCCCCGCGCGGATCGCCAGAGCATCCGGAAACTGCTCCTTTCTCTCGTTTTGAATAACTATCTCGCCGTGGACCTGTTGCAGGGATGGCTGCAGAGCCACTTTAGTCGTGCCCTCGATCGGATCGCGAATCGCGTGGAGCTGGACGGTACAAAACTGAAGTACAAGACCTGTGGGCCGGCCCACACCATCGTCGTGGAGGGGCGGGATCTCGAATACTCGGTGGACTATGTGCCCGCCATCCGCCTGGGCGCCGAACAGAACGTATTAGCCGCCGAACAGCTTACCTACTTTAGGCGCGCCAATCTCTCGCACTGGGATGCGATTCCCAAGCCCCTGAAAATGGCCACAGATCAGGTCTCGTTCCGGTCGTCCTTTTACGAGGCTGAGAAGGTCATGCTTCGCGGCGAGAACATGAACCATTGCTTGGACGGAATCAGGCTGATTAAGAAATTTCGCGATGTAAAGACCAATTTAAGTAACCTTAAGAGCTACTACATTAAAACTTTATTTCTTTGGAAGATTAGGCAAGAACAACCCCACTACTGGCTCCAACCACTCACAGTGATTTTGAGCGATGTAAGTATGGCGAAATTGGATCACAAACTCGGGCTCTTAACTCCTAACTGCATCATCTATACTCCCCAGATGTTTGAAGAACTCACAGAGTGTTTGCTCCAGGGCTGGCTCCCCTTCTACTGGGACCCCGAGCTGAACATGCTAGATCTGCTGACGCGAGACCAGGTGACTGAGATGTACCGATGTGTCAAAAGTTTCTCGGCAATGCTGGGAGGAGAGGTTGGATATGATTCACCCCGCCGGACGGGCGGCTCCCCGCTTGTCGTTTTGCGGGCCTTCAGTAAGTGCTGCCTTTACCTCTAGTCTGAGCACATGTCTTAAGTAATCCTTCCCTTTCGTGTGCAGGCCACAAGGAGGAGCGAACTCCGCTACGTGCCTCCCAGCGGCTAGCTAAACGAAAGGACATCAAAAGACTACAGCTCCGCTAGGAAAATGGACGTAGGGAACTCTTTAGTAAGTCCTTCACTTTGGAGTACGTTGTCCTTGCTTTAATTAATCCATTTCTGCATAGGCTTCAAGGAGGAGCAAGCTCTGCACCATCAAAGGCTACAGCTCCGATAGGAAAATTCACCGAAGGAAAGCCCTGGCCAACAGGCCAGTTGGGAAGGAGTCCGGGACTAGAGCATAACAAGCTACCCCAAAAATTCCAATTTTATTTAAAAATTGTAAATTGCAAACAGGAAATGTTTATTTCAAGAGCTTGTTAAAATCTGTATTGGTTGATTGTAAAAATTGCCTTTGATTACACTCTTTGTTCTTTAAAGAATATATTGTATATTTCGTAAGTGCGAGAATATGGATATACAGATAATTATACATGAAGATTTTTAAGATTTTTAAAAAAGCTTTAAAAAGAATAAGTAAACATTGGACAAATTGCAAACAAATATACTCGTTGAAGCATTATTTCTTCTTAAATCATAATTACCCTGTGTTTAAAATTATATGGGCTATATTATTATACTGACTTTATGATTTCTTGATAATTATATACCTAAATAGTTCATCCAAAGATATGTTAAAAGCAATTCTTTTTATAACGGCCAAATTTCAAATTTCCGTTCTCCGTCTGGCAACACCAATGTCACGAAAGATCTGCTATCGATTTAAGTGTGACCAGCAGCCGAACATCGATACGCACCAATCGATGTGCCTTTTCTCAAAACATCGATAGCGATAACCCGAAGCAGCTATTTAAGCAACTCGCTCTCCGAAATTTTGAATAAAATCTCTTTGGTCGTGTCGTCGTGCAATTAAAATTGTAAATCGGCTGCGGACGCGCACAGACTGTTTAGAATTCCACATATATTTCAATTGGACCGAGCTCGCAACGGGCCCAGTGCGTGCATGCAAATTTTTGGCATAAAACGACCGCGACTTCTTGGAGGCATCGCACTTAGCACAGCCATTCCGCCGGGGCAGCAGCTAATCCGACATAGAAACCCAAGCCGAGTCCAAAGCCAGTCCAATCCAATCCACCTGTGACTGCAGCCAGATTTCGTAATCCCGCAAGAACCCACCAGTCGCCAGTAGCCAGTCGCCAGTCAGTGAAAGTGCGCGTGTGTTGGTCACCCAAGGAAAATCTCTCATATCAATTATAACCTGCGGTGTCAGCAGGCAGTAGCAGCAGCAGCAGCAGCGAATCATCGCCACAAATACACAGCCGGAGACCCAGACTCGGCCACCATGAGCGGATACACAGACCTCACCAAGCTGGAGACAAGTCGGTAAGCCTCGAGTCCGAATCCAGTTCGCTAGTTGAAGCGTTTAAGTTTAATTTGATCAAAACGATGCTAAATTGGACGGGGCACACTCACCCCATCCCTCCCTCTCGCCCTGGTGGGCTCTCTTTCGATTTCGGCTCTCCGAGCTCTCTCAAACGCCAGCCAACCGCACCCCTCTTACGTTTTCTCTTTCGTTTCATTTCGACAAAAAAAACAAGATACAAGAAATTTATCGTACGATTTTCGGCGGCCATTCAAACACGAAAGAAACAGCCAAGCCGTCCCGTCCGTCCCGCTGATATGACACAATCGGCTATACATTGTGCACCTGTGTGTGTACGCTGTCTGTTTGTTTGCCTAAATGCTTCGCCTGAGCCCAACAGAGGCTAAAAATCACAGTCGGCTCTCGGATGAGGGCGATAAGGAGCGATTTTGTCGCTATCGCCCAGTTATCAGTCACTATTACTCATCGCCAGATATGGATTTATGCTGTCTCGTTTAATATGTGACCAATAACTATTCATTCGGCCTCCTTGGGGCTGCTAAATCTTGGAAATTCTCTGATTCACCCAAGTTGGCGGCGCACACACAACGCTTGGAGGTGTCGCAGGTGTCGCCTTGAACGGGGCGAACGGCGAACGACGCGATATTCAGGTGGCCGCCAATGGCCAGCGACCAACAAACCAAACAAACCCGGTTAAAGAGTAGGTAGAATATCAAATTTGCGGGCGTATCAAATATCGATTAGGCTGGGGACGCTATGGAGGTCAGGCGGGGACACAGTTAAAGGCAGAAACACAAACCAAATATTGGTCAATTCGGTTCAAAAAATATACATGGGTATGGTTGGTGTGTATATGTTGATATGTATATGCGCCATTGCCCAACATTGCAAATACGAGAAATACCACAAAACATAGCGGACAGACAGCCACGGAGCACCGCCAGAGCATCGTTTTCATTCATCATGCTCAGCTGGTTGTCGTTAGCGGAGGATGGGGGGAGGCGTCTCTTGCTCTGTACAGTTCGCTCAGAAAACATCACGCCACACGGCGGCAGCGAAAGAGAAAATATAAAGAGAGAGCGGCCAGCGAAAGAGAGAGTTACGAGTTACGCTTGCCACATGAGCCACCCACCCACCCCTTGCCTGCTGTTCGCCAGCTGCCGCTGAATGAAAATAATCGCCTGATTTTGGCGTTGTATACGGTACATCACCTTTCTCCCGACGCCGCTGCCGCTTTTGCCTCTTCTTCTTGCCGCGCATGTCGCGTGACGCTGGCAAAGCTTAGCCCAATTCTCACACAGCTGCGAGTGGGAGGGAGCGGCTGGGCAGGCAGTCAGGCAGGTGTGCTATAGTCAGGCCCTCCAATTGGCTAGCAACGTGTGGCGTGTTATCCCAGCCGGCGTCGTTTAGATTCTTGGGAGCGGAGATGGGGAAGCGGGATCAATAGGAAGAAAGAACTGGTGACAATGGTGACTCTTTTGTGTGTTTTCCCGCATCACAAAAGGTCAATAGCAATGGTGGACACTCTGGCGCGTGGCCAACATTCGGGCGTCGCCTGATTATACCCATCTAAGCAAGCACTGGCCAGCGGATTAAAGCAGCGCAATTAATGAAATATAATTGAAAGTAAAGTGTGGCGATTGAGTGTCTAGAATTCCGTGGGACAGCAATCTCTGGCAATCTCTACTATGTGCCATTATGCGCCAGTGTCGAGAGTCGAGTGTCGAGCGTCGATTGGCGAGTGCCCGAGCGAATATAGTTGATAAGATGGTAATTGCTTTTGCATTCCTACGTTCTCCCCCCAGAGCCCGTGATTTCCACGATTGGAATTCAACGCCACAATTAGCGTAATTAGTCAATGGGAATAACTCTGAGGCGACAAACCGACGTCCACGACGTCTGGCCGTGGGCTAGAGAGCCTTGACACCCGTCCACCGCGTACAAAGTAGACGGCCGCCCCACTGGCCGCCCTCGCTCTAGATCCCCATCTAGTTCTGGTTCTCAACGATGTCGGTCATCGGAGCAGCCAGTGGTAGGCAGTCCACGGAGCACGCGGCACTCGCGTGGCCACCCCTACCCGACTGGCCCCTTCCTTAGACTTCAGCCATCGATATCTAGATTGTCTAAGTGTGTTTGCCGCGGGGTGCGAGGCAGGGGGTGGCGAGCTCCCTAGGCTAGAGGTCTTTAAATGGCGCAGTCACTAAAACTAAATTTATCAGTGCGCTCGGCACTCGGTTGTGTCAACTAGCTGCGATCACGCGGGTCCGCACTGGCTGGCTGGCTACGTAGATTCGGCTGCGCTGGCCAATCTGGGCGCACTGAATGGGGGGCGGAGGCAACTCCACCGATCCGTTCGTCTGGGAGCCGTCTGGCGGCGATAAGCCAAGACTGGCTCTCTAGACTTTGGCCGCGCCAGTTCCAGATACCAACCTAGGTCCCCTGCTCGAATGAGATGCTTTCGCTCCGGGGGGTTAATGGCTGTCAATTGTTGATGTTTATGGGGCTTGACCGGGGTGATGTTACGCGATCTCATCGTGAAATTAACGTTAATGAGACCGGCAAGGATTGTATAACGGTTATTACTTGGGACGCTCGCCTGCCTGCCTGCCCGCCTGCCCTGGCACCTGGAGGCGTCCAGCACGTGGCCGGGGTTAAATTGGCTTTCGAGACCAAAATAGAAATCTTTAACAGCCACACGAGCACTGTCAGGTACAAAAGAAGGCACCACCAACAGGTTTTTTGTTTTATACAAAATCCAAAAATACAAATTCAATTTGCGACAACGGCGGCGAATCGCTGATTTGCATAGAAACCAATTCATATCTATCATACGCCACGTTGACCAGCCAGCCCGGCAGCCAGCGGCGCACCCAGCCCAGAAAGAAGACTTCGGGTAGCGGAAGTCTGAACGCGGTAGACTTAACGACGCTGGAGAACGAACGGCTAGTGTCTGGTCCGGTCTGGTCTGGCCTAGCGTTATGTGATGTGGCACGGTCCCCAATCATGTGTCTATTGTCCCAAACTGGTTTCCCTATGCACACGCTCCACTGGTTTACTATTCGCTAGCTAGCCCAAGCCCAAGCCAAAGCCCAAGCTCATCTTTTGATTGTGTTCTGCTTTCAGGAACTGCCTGCGCCGCATCGCCCGTCACGATGAACAGCAGTTTTCCAAAGACAGCATCGTCAACGTGATGGAGAAGTTTGTGAAGACTGTCAACATTATGGACGACACCATACTCGTGCCATGCAGGCTCATGGATCGACAGGTTGGTAGAGCAACGCCCCCACCCCTAGGAACCCTTAAAACCCATTAAATCAGCCTGCAACTCGTACTCATCTCCGGCCATTCCCATTTGCTTATTCTCCGGCAGATCGGCGACAGCACTGACATCATCCCGGCCACCACCGGCAAGGACACAACCGCCAACCAGCTGACACAGAATTCCAGCGCCCAGGGCAAGCGGGGAGCGGCGCACTCGAAGAACGTGCAAGACTTCCTCAGCGCCTCCGAGCTGTTCAATCTCTACAACATGCTCAACTCGCTGAAAAAGGATCTGCTCTGGACCGCCAACCAGGAGGACGACGAGCAGCACCAACAGCAGAGTGAGCAACAGCTCAATAGCAGTCCCAATTCCACTTCGAATTGCAATCCCAGCGAGAGCAAGACTGAGTCCAGCACAAGCACCGCCGCAGCCACAGGCAATGGCTCTTCGAGCGGCGGTGTAAAGGGCCATGTGCGCCGCACCTCCACCGCCTCCATGATGTCCACCAATTCGGTGAGCAACATGAGCGACTCTGACTCGGACATCTCGCAGGAGAACGACTCGGGCCTGGAGTCTGACGGCAACAAGAGCGACCATGCGCAGAGCACCGACGGCAGCGACATCGTGGATGTGGCCAAATCGAAACAGGCCTCCGGAGACAAGGCCACGGAGCTGGCACAGCGCTGCCGGAGACATCTGAACGGTCTGTACCAGTGCCTGGAACAAATGACAGAGGCGGCCAACTACCTGACCGCCAGATACCAAAGTGATATTGGGCCCGTCTAGGACGTCCCTCTCCTCCTATACTCTTCTCCTATTCTTCAAACCCTAACCCTACACCTGCTCAAAGTCGGGGCAGCCACCTTCATACCATAGTCGCGGGCGGGTCTTTACTCTCATTAGTATCAAGTAAACC